CAAGTCAGAGGGACTACCTTGGGGATATCTGTGGCAGACAGTCAGTAAAATACAAGGAAGCCGATGTTGATATTAATCAACGCACACCACTCACCGGAAGTCATTTCGTTGGTGTGGAGACAGGTCCCCGTAGGTTTCAGTGGTTTTGATGTTAGGTATTACAGGGCCAATCACAGATCAGATTCACGATGCGCGTTAGCTTCAAAAACCGAGTGACTGATATCAAGTACAGGTCCAGGAGGAAGACCCAGAGAAGGTTGGATATGTCTTAAGGAAAGTACATAAGAGATTCGTCACGTTCGTCAAGTCATCAGACGTGGGGTCGAGGTGCAGAAAGGATCGAAGAAGAGTGAGAATAGTGAGATATGAGGCTTCCAGACACCTCAAAAGGAGAGCAGGCCCTGGGAAACAGCAAGAACAGCTTGGTAGATGTAGATGGAATATCGAATTTCAATTTCCAACAATAACGGGCAATCCCCATTAGGTAAGGCGCTAGTCCCAGTCGGGTATAATTGAAGTAACACGTGAGGCGTATAGTTGGACGACTTAACCTCGTCTCTGAGCGTCTATGGAGTGGAAATTATATGTTGCGCTTGCATTGGATGCGCACTGTGATGGCTCAGCCGCTTTCACCGCTAATTCACTCGCATTGGGCACGGTCATGGATAAGCAGCTAAACCTCCTTGTTGTGGCGTAGTGGACTCGAGGACCCGATGGGCCCTGGGTTGGGCCACTTAAATACTCTGCTAGCTTCGAGCCAAAGGAGTCACTACGTAGAACCAGGCAAAGCAGATATAGGGCTCCATACAAGACACTATTAATAATCTCAATGCCAACTTGATAAGCTCTCGGCGTTCTAGCAGGTTCCTATGGCGCTACCGCCCACGTGATATGATGCTTTGGCGGGGATCGCCCCAGAACGACTAAAGGACAACAACGGGGAGCTTAAGTGACTGCTGATTCTGTGATACCCTCAAAAGATTCTTACTCGAATTTCTACCTCTTTCTCCATTCTACCCCCCAAGTCACATGTATGCCTGATTTCAAGCTCTCGGCAACCCTTGAAGGCCACGGCGATGATGTAAGGCTCCTGATCCCGGCGTCTGGCTCTGCCATTGATCGCGCATTCAATCCACGCAAAGTACTCACATTCATTTGATTTTGATATAGGTTCGCGCGGTGGTCTTCCCAAACCCCAATGTCGTCCTCTCCGCTTCTCGAGATGCCACAGTTCGGCTCTGGAAGCTCGTTGCGACTCCTCCCCCCGCATACGATTACACGATCGCTGCACATGGCACAGCCTTCATCAACAGCTTAGCCTATGTTCCTCCCACATCTCAATACCCCGAAGGCCTTGTTCTTTCTGCTGGACAAGATTCCATAATTGAAGCCAGACAGCCGGGCAAAGGCGCCGAGGACGATGCCGATGCTATGCTTCTAGGCCACGGCCATAATGTTTGTGCTCTAGACGTATCCCCGAACGGTAATTGGGTTGTCAGCGGTAGCTGGGATTCAACTGCACGTCTGTGGAAGGTTGGCAAGTGGGAGTGTGAAACTGTGCTGGAAGGACACGAGGCAAGCGTCTGGGCTGTGCTTGCCTACGACGATAACACAATCATCACAGGTACATTGGTCTTACGCAGCTTTTTGGGAGTCTCATACTGACATTGTTATAGGCTGCGCTGATAAAATGATTCGCATATTCAATACCTCAGGAGCTCTCCTCGGGAGCGTACAGAACTCCAACGACGTTGTTCGGGCCTTGTGCAAGCTTCCAGCGTCGAACCCCACAGGTGCCCAATTTGCATCGGCTAGCAATGATGGCATCATTCGTCTCTACACTCTGGAAGGTCAACTCGTCGCATCTCTTCATGGTCATGAGAGCTTCATCTACTCGCTTGCTGCGCTCCCGTCGGGTGAACTGGTGAGCTCAAGTGAAGATCGCACCGTGAAGATTTGGAGCGGGACTCAATGCGTGCAAACCATCACCCATCCTGCGATCTCGGTGTGGAGTGTTGCAGCCTGCAGTCAGACGGGTGATATCGTCACTGGTGCTAGTGACCGCATTGCCCGTGTCTTCAGCCGAAGCCCAGACCGCTACGCAGCCCCGGAGGCTGTAAATCTTTTTGATCAGGCTGTTAAGGAGTCATCTATCCCAGCGCAGCAGGTTGGCCAGATTAATAAGGAAGAGCTACCGGGCCCAAAGTTCCTTAAAGAAAAGTCTGGCACCAAAGATGGTCAAGTTCAGATGATCAGAGAGAATGATGGCAGTGTCACCGCCCACACCTGGTCATCCGCATCACAAGAGTGGATTGCGGTTGGAACGGTGGTGGACTCAGCTGGAAGCAGTGGTCGGAAGACCGAATACCATGGACAGGATTATGACTACGTCTTTGATGTCGATATTGAGGATGGCAAGCCTCCGTTGAAGCTACCATACAATGCCTCGCAGAACCCATACGAGGCTGCCACTAAGTTTATTGGAGATAACGAGCTTCCTATGACCTACCTCGACCAGGTTGCAAACTTCATCACCCAGAACACCCAAGGCGCCACGATTGGACAATCAGCCCAGGAATCAGAAGGTTCCGACCCTTGGGGATCCGACCGACGATACCGCCCTGGTGACGCATCAGCTGCTGAAGAATCCCAACCCCCTGCTCCCGAGCCGCGACCCAAGGTGCTCCCGCAGAAGACTTACCTCTCGATTCGCTCAGCAAACCTCAAAGTAATTACGAAGAAGCTGCAGGAGTTGAACGACAAACTCGTTTCCGATGGATCAAAGGATACGGCCTTGAGCCCCTCAGAGGTGGAAACCGTTGTCGCCATGTGCGGTCAATTGGAATCATCCCAGCAGCTTAAGGACTCACCCGAGGTCGAGTCTGGGATACCGTTGATTCTCAAGATTGTTACTACCTGGCCTGCCGCCAACCGACTCCCTGGACTTGATATTCTTCGTCTCCTAGCAGCCGCTTCACCGCTCACAGCAGCGGCCGAGTACGCGGACGAGAACGTTGTGTCAGCGGTCATCTCCAGCGGTGTCTTTGAATCTCCCCTTAATGTCAACAATGCCATGCTTGCCATGCGAACATTTGCAAACCTGTTCGAGACCCCTGCTGGCCGCGAACTAGCCATGAGCTCCTTTGATCAGATCCTGGCTGGAGTCAAGTCGGCCCTGGTCAACAGCGGAGCCTCGCCAAACCGCAACCTCATCATCGCCATCACGACGCTGTACATCAACTTTGCGGTTTACCTTGTCTCTGAGGGCAGGAATCATACCCCAGAATCGGCTGAACGAGGTCTCATCCTTCTCGAGGAACTGAACAAGATTTTTGCCGGAGAGAAGGATTCCGAAGCGGTCTACCGAGCACTCGTTTCGCTCGGCACACTTGTCGCCGCTCTCGGAGAGGAAGTCAAGACTGCCGCCAAGGAAATCTACGAGATTGAAGGTGTGCTCGCCAGACTCTCAGCATCCGGTCCAGGAAGGGAACCCCGCATCAAGGGTATCATTGGCGAGATTCGGGAGACACTCTAAGAGCGGGATGTCTTACAAGCATTCAATGCATGTGTGCATAGATGAGAGATACATTACTTCCTAACGACGACAACGCAATTCCAAGGAAATCAATTATCACGTATCATTTCATTCTATTCCATTCCATTTCATTTCAGTAGTAGTCCTACATCCTACTAACAACCCGTAACCGTAATAACCTGAAACTTACAACTTCCCCTCAGCATCAACCCCGACCTCCAAAACCTGCTCAACACCCTGATACCCCGGCAAATCAAGCCCATACTTGTCAGCTAGTCCCCTCGTCAAAAACCTCCCCCCAATAAAATGCCGTCCCTGATAAAACTGCACACAAGGCTTCGGCGCAGTCAAACTAATAAGCGAAGCAGGCATGAACTTCGCACCGGGACCCTCCTTCGGCGGCCCACTCTGGATATCCCACGAACTGGGCGCATCAACACTTAGCACGGGCACGCTGGCTGATTCAATTTGTGAGACTATATCACCGAATGGTTCGCGGAGTGGTCCGCCGAAGGAGAAGCCGAAGATTGAATCGACTAGGAAGTCTGTTTGCTGCAGGGCTGGGGAGAAGTCGGTTATGAATGGGATGGACAGGTTTTGGAGTTGGATTTTCAGGCGCTGGGGTTAGGTTTTGTTAGATTTGGGGTTTAGGGTTTGGTGAACCGATTGGAATGGATTCGACGTACTTGGTAGAGTTCGTTTTTGCCTTGTTTTGGGTAGTACACTGATGGGCTGTAGCCAAAGTGTGCTAGGTGGCGCGCTGCTACGAGACCATCTCCTCCTGTGGGAGTGTTAGATTGTGGATTATGGGTTTGATATCGGGCTTTGGGTGTGTATAGAAGTAGGCTTACCATTGTTACCTGGCCCGCAGACGACCAGGATGTTTTTGCCTGCGCTTGGAGGGTGGACTTTCCATACTAATTGCTCATGCATCAGTACATTGATTGGTGTGGTTTGAGCTTGTTGGAGCTTACCGGCTTGCGCGACAGAGAGCCCTGCTAGTTCCATCAACTGGTCTAGAGACCAGCCACCGACCTCCATCAGGTCTTTGTCCAGAGCAGCAGCATCCTTAGATGAGATTGCCTGGTTGGAGATAGAGCCGTGAGCTTCTATGTGTTGGTTGTATGCCTATCAAATGACTATACCTTCAACGACATTGTTGCTGATTTACTGTAACGCCGAATATGTGTAGGAAGACAGATCCGCTTAAATGTACAGCGGAACATACAATTATGATGACGAAGAAGTCAGCGCCCAAATCAATCAAGTGAAACAGTTAAAGAGAGAGAAAGCATGCATCACCTCATAAGTAGATCTACAGGTCTTCACATTACATCACCACGCTAATCCACATTAGGCCAACCCGGAACAACTATTCCTCCGGGACATCAAGAACTTTTGCGGACATCGCGACCAAAAGAACTGTCTCGCGCGCTCATTGCAAAAGAAACGCATATCCAACACAATGGTTCTCCGGATCAGACTTGCCCGCTTTGGCAACAAGCACAACCCTTTCTACAACATCGTCGTCGCACAGGCCCGGTACGTGCCCATATTTTCCTCCCCTGTCAACGGCCGAGTATCCCGATCCACACCGCCAGCGCAAGACTGCAGCATTGCCAGGTGGAATACAATCAGGATATACCATGGAAACACCGTCAAGAATTATAATTGACTCTTGTTTGAACAGCTCCGCCCGTGGCGCCAAGCCCCTCGAAGTCATCGGCACCTACAACCCCATCCCGAAGCGTCCCACGAACTTGTACAATGAGAATGCCAATGCTCGCCCATACAAGGAGGTAGCTCTCGACCGCTCGCGCGCACAGTACTGGCTCGGTGTTGGGGCGCAGCCTAGTGATCCTGTCTGGAAGCTGTTGGGCATGGTAAGCCAGATTCCACTCTTTCAAAGCGGTGACGGGTGTTCGAGGATGATGAGTATACACGGCTCTTGCTATTGTCGGTTCCATCATTCTCAGGTCATACCGTTCCACCCGATCACGCCGTCATTCTTAGGTGTTGGACGGGTGCTAACTATGAATGTGTTCTTTTAGGGTGGCCTCGTGGTTCCTAAACCTACTACCTTCCACAAGGCCTGATTTCTCGATGTGTGTGTGACTGTTCAAGGGGGTCTGACAGGGTACCGCTGTCACCCTGAGTCCCTTGCCGTTGTTCGAGTCATATCTAGCTTTCTCGCATTCTTAGGGCTTCGGCCGAGCGGGGCCGTTAGGACATGGGAAGATCGTTCACCTGGGAGGAATCAGGGGACTAGTGGTTAGAGGGTCAGCTCTCTGTTTGATTTTGATTTTGATTGTGTTGGCATTTTTGGCGTTTATTGAGTTGCCTGGGAACGTCTCTGTATATTATGGCAGCCTAGCTGCGTTGGCTCTAAATCGAGCATGAAATTCTACAACTTCACTGTCAGGAATGTGATACTCAACATGGCATGACTATTTTGTGCTCCGTACTCCCCTACCTCGGTATCTACTAGGCACCGACCTGGTACCTATTTAGCTAGCGGCTTAGCAAGTGTAATAAGCCTCAGGGTACGCGTAGACCAAGGTTTAAAGTGCGGTATTTACGCCAGGTCAGCCCAAGACATTCCCATAAGAAATCTTAATGTAGAGTAGATGCAGTTCTGTTGACGCGCTTATGACCGCTCCAGGCACTAAGATCAGCCAAGCGATGGCTTCTCTCCACGGCCCAACCATACGAGACATCGCCCCCTCGATAACGTCGAGTCATTTCCCCGTGGCAGCCAATCCCATGTGTTGCCAGGGTTCACCCCGTGGCAATTGGTCCGCTGTGGAGGATCGTCGAGTTTTGACTTTCTTTGGACCTGACTTGTAGATTCTGGTTTGGACGGGATATGCAAGTGCGTTATTGTCTTATAAAGTGCTTGACGTATAGGCTTGATTTATAGGCTTGATTTATAGGCAGGGATGTAATAGAGGCTGACCTATGTACAGTATGTATTCATGCTTTGCTTTGTTCCCGGTAGATACCCCTGTATAGTATATCTTCGATAGAGCCCCAAGCGTGTAGAGCTGGGGGCAAGCCACATGGAACATTCAAACATGCATACATTCTAGAAAAGCAGTGACTCCATCTACTAAGGTCCACTACTAAGGGAACTATAAAGGGAAACAGCTTCACATTCCATTCGGGACACGCACTTGGATCTCTGCAAGCGGACAAGTTACAGGGTCACGTTGTAAAACGGTGACAACGTACTGTCATCTACTCTGTGGTACTTATGGTAGTATGGGGATCTACGTAGTACCCAATGTACTCCCATTGTCACATACCGGTTCCCCAATGAGTCGCGTCGTGAGAGCAGATCCATGGATCTGGCACCTGTGGACTGCACTCGACCGTTCCGGACTCTTTTCTCTCCCCCCCCCTTCTTCCTCCCCCTGCTCCCTCCCCCCCTCTTGCATTCTCCATCCATCTTTATTCTCTGTCGCCTTGTCGCATTACAATACCCGATCTGATATTTCGACCTATCTGCATCGCACTTCTTGTCGCATTCACTCTGCGCGCGACTCATCGCGACATTTCCAACTCGCGACTCCGATTCATCTCTCTCAGCTGGGGTCGCGATAAAGGCGAAAAAAAATTCGAAACTTCAACACTCGTGGAGGGATGAGCGGCAGCTCTAGCCAGTCCACTCGTACGAGTCCAGGCTCTTTTGGAACCACACAGCTGACAGAGTCCGTGTCTTCTGGTTCGTCGCCACCACAGCAGTCTCTCTCTTCGGCGCCTTCAACGGCTCAGCATGCGATGTCGACCGACGTGTATAGCCCGAATGCGTCGCAAGCGCCCTCTTTGAACAACACTTTCTCCTACCCTTTCTCCCCGATCGGTACCTCGGCTTCGTTCGATAACAACATGCGCTTGGGCGATACCGACCGTAACCTCCAGGGCCTGAACGGCCTAGGTCGCAGTGGAGGCGCGATTTTGATGCGCAAACTGCCCCGAAACACCAGTCGCGAAGCCCTGCGCAGTATGCTGCTGTTCGCCAAGGAACTAGTGGATGCCGACTTTGTGACCTTGGACTTGCCGGAGGATGACGGGTTCTTAACCGCGATCGCGCGATTCCATACTTTGCCGGCCGCCGAGGAAGCCAGAGCCCTGCTCAATGGCAAGCCTAACTCCAAGAACGACGCCAACATGATTGTTGAAATGTACCCGGGCCCGATGGGATCGGCTCTATCCAACGCGCGTCGCAATACGATCGATCACACCGCGAGCCGTGCATTGCTGGGTGGTGTTCCCTCGAATGGACCCCTGGCGCGTCAATCTTCGCGTTTCAACAACACCTTCCAGAGTTTGGAGAGAATTTCGGCCGGCAACCCCAACCAAGTCATTGGTGAGGGGCTTCCCCAAACCTCTGAATCTGGCTCGCGCATGCATAGCCTCTTCTCCCCACATTCTCCGATCGGAAACGGCATCGATAACCTCCCACGCATAACCGGGAAGTCTATGATCGATGAGGATCCAGACGAGGAGACTGGCGAGTTGTTGAAGGATCCAGTGGGTTACGCGGAGAATGGGCACTCCGTTGCGCCTTCCCGCCGTTCTACGAACCCTCAAATTCCGACCGGTCGCTTTGCCAACCTGTCTCTCTCAACCAACATGTCCTCTCCTCCTCTGCCGAACTACTCCGGAGGTGTGGGACAGCGCATGGGCGGTGGAGCGCCAGCATCTGCCTACCCGAACCAAGGCCATGGTTTCCCCTACAGCGCCCAGCATACACCGCGACACAGCCTTCCTGCTGCCAACCCGAATGATCTCAACCCTCCCTGCAACACGCTGTACGTGGGTAACTTGCCCCCGGACACATCGGAGGAAGAGCTCAAGGCGCTCTTCTCGAAGCAACGTGGATACAAGCGACTCTGTTTCCGAAACAAGCAGAATGGTCCCATGTGCTTTGTCGAATTCGACGAGGTTGCCATGGCCAGCAAGGCGCTCAATGAGCTGTACGGTTACAAGCTGTCAAACAGCGTCAAAACCGGCATCCGTCTCAGTTTCTCCAAGAACCCCTTGGGTGTGCGCTCTGGTCAGCCCGGCAGCATGAGCTCGTCCAATTCAATCTCTGGACAGGGCGCATCGTCTGGAGGTAGTAGCTTAGGCGGCATGCACAACAACATGTTCTCAGCTGTCAATGGACCTCCTCCTGGCCTAGCAGCACCTCCGGGCCTCGGTATGGCCTTGCCCACACCCATGCGCAATGGCAATAACATGCACACCCCAAACCCGCATGCTGGCTTGATGAGCAATGGTTCATATAATCCCAACTCGGGCCTGGGAATCCGAAACGGAGCCAATTCCATGATGATGTCCCCGCCACCTCCTGGAAGTGCCGGCAGCAACAATGGGCCAAATCTGAACGGCTATAATTCCTTCTACCCCGATTACATGATGGGTCGTTAAGACCAAGCATTATATTGAGATAATGTCCGGCATGTTTGAACGAATTGGGGTATCTGGCGCATTGGTGATTCCTTTCATTTCGTGAGCTAGATCAGCATTCGGCGGCTGCATAACTCTCGGGAGTATTGTTTCGGATTTGCTTTTCTGATTTCTTTCTTTTTCTTGATTTTCCCCCTTTCTGGCTTTTGCTTCTTATTGCATGGGAACCCGGGCGCTCTTACATTCCTTATTTGTCTTCATTCATTTCATTGGGAGGATTGCATTTCAGGTCATTGCCACACTTGTATTCTTATTTGGTCGGTGCGAGGCGCTCGAGTAGCGCGTTTGTTTCTGCCACTTTCGTTTCGTCCACACCATACCCTAGTTTTCTTGCTGAATTTGTCTTTATCTCGCTCATCTTGGGTTGGATCTGTCTGACCAGGATGTCTCCGAGCTGTTATCTATTTTATTTGACGTGATTCCCCCTGTTTTGTTTTCATCTATCCCTGGATCTTTTTCGATGCATCGTCGTGCGAGGATCGGAATGGATTTTGCTGATTTACCCTGCAATGCGTTCTATTTCTATGCAAGTATGAAAAAGAAGGGTCTTATGTGGCTTTCTTTAGCTCTCTTTCTAATATCTCTCTACTCAATGGCATGAGCTATGGAAGGACATGACATCGGCTTACGTTGACTACATACTGTCCCCGGCGTTGGTTATGATATTTTTTTGCGATTTCTCTCTTAGCGGTGGATGTCTTGCTCACGTTGATCTTTGATGCATTCTCGACGGCTCTTGCACAGTCATTCGCTTTTGATTACCCATGCTCTTTGCGGGATATGAAGATATCATGGGCAGTCACGTTGTCTATGTTTGTTTACCCGTCTTGCTTGGTGGTATGATATTGATAAGTTTGCTTCGATGTCGATGTACTTCATACAATGAACTGGTTTCCAGCAATGGCCAATAATAATAAAAAAGCAGGCATATACCTCTAGTATGTACTGTCTAGTCTCTTGATCGGAGCTTCGCGTGGAGACGGTCACGTGATAACACTACCGAAAAGTTTCTTCTCACCAAACACTCCCCGTGCTGTCCGACTTCCCATCTTCCAATTGCATTCAATTGCAACAGTGTTTCCTTTCTTGTTTCACAGCGTTTCCTATTCTATTCCTTGATTCCCCTTCTCATATTTTCCCTCATTTTTCTCACTTTTCCCAAGATGCCACCCCGGGTACAGACCGGGCGTGTGTCCAATACCCTCCTCCCCTACCTCACCACCACCTCATCCTCCACAACCTCCTCCCTTCCTTCATCCTCCTCACAATGCCTACGTCAGTTCTCTGCCACGACAGCCTCTCAAACAAAGCTCCGTCGGCAGATGTTCGAATGGCTTAGCACCGCCGGTGCTGGATTGAAGCACCATGTCCCTGGAGAGACCAATTATCTAACCCGCTTAAAACAGGGTGGTCATGATGATTCAAATCGGCCATTCCCCAACAACCCAAACTTCATTAGTGAGAGTATCCTCAGTGAGGGTCTCCGCGAAGAAATCTATAAACGCGTCGTGACCCAGAAGCAGAGTCTTCGTGCTGTCAGCGTGGAGCTTGGAATTGATATGAAGCGTATTGCTGCCGTCGTGAGACTGGTGGAATTGGAGAAGAGGCAGCGCTCACAGGTAAGAATCTCTTTCTCTTCCTTTTCTCTTTTCCTTTTGGACCTTCCTTCCTTCGCCCTCGCATATGATGAGTCAAAAAAAATTCGATTAGTCTTGAAGACACCGACATGGTTACAACTTACCTTTTTTAACTGAATTGCGCTACAACTATACTTTTGGATATCTGTCACTCTTGGCCCGAACCATAACTGACAAACCAAACCAGGGCAAACCTCTAGCACTTCCATACGCACGGGCAATCCACGAAATGGTCCCCGTGACCCCCCTCGCCGACAAGGGCGAGCGCCAACAATACCACGAGTCCATCAACGACCTCCCCGCCCACCCCCTAACAGGAACCCAAATCTTCTACCCCGTCCCTGAATCTCGCTCCTTCAACCGAGTTGAAGCCGGCCGCGTCTTCTCCGGCGCCCCAGCCCTAACCCACGAAGAAGCCGCCGAGATTCATCACCCATACGACCTAGCTCAGAAAGTGATCGAAGACCCCAAATCAATCGGGTGGGTAGGCAAGGGCGAAAAGGCCCGCCAGATCCTTCAGCCCGCCGATGTGCGTATCCCGCACCCACACATGATCGGCCTCGAGCGCGACCGCATCGCACACCCGAACGAGCGCCACACCGTTCAACACCGCCACGCTGAGCGACTCGCGCGCCAGGAGAGTCTCGAGCAGGAGGCTCGCCAGCGCGCCCAGGCTCGTCGCGACGCTAGCCAGACGACAGTGTCTCCGACTGACTCGCGCTTCGATTACCGTATCCAGGATACGAAGTTCACGAAGGAGACTACTGGTGCTAATGGCCGTGCTCCGTGGGCTGTTGGTCGTCGCTATGGTGTGCCGCACAACGACCGCACTCGTGGCACAGTCAAGATCCCGACTCGTGTTGACGCTTGAGCGGTTGACTGTCGATTGTCGGTTGTATACTTCTCATTTTTGAGCATCGTCCCGGCTGTGTCGGGCTTTTGTACTTTTATTGTATGCAATTGTATGCATACACTTGTATCATGGGCTGTCTAATCGCTATGTATCTATACCAAATTATTTGACTCTCACTGTCTGGATATTCATTTATATTGCCAGATCTATCACTAAGTAGATATAGTTTGTCATAGTAGACTCTCCGATCAAAGCACGAGATACAGATGGAATGGGATGGTAATCCAATGTCGATATCTTCATCAGAGAAGCAAGTAAGTAAACCCCGAAATATGGATTGAAACACAATACCCAGCGCCCTGCCAACAGTAACAGAAAAAGAAAGACAGAGTCGAAATGCGGAATCCATTCTGGGTAATCGAACTGAACGCATCAGGACATCAACCCCAGCCGATGTAGCGCGTATCTCTGCTCTCACGCAAGAGGTCCAATTCCCAAAGTCCAAAGTAGGACTCGAAATCGAAGTTGAAGCAGTACAAGCCCAAAGATCCATATCAATATCCATATCATTTCAATAATCAATGAGCCTCCCCAACAGACCGACATCTCCCACCCCTCCTCGTCCCAACCCAACCCGAGACAGCATCGGACTCAGACTCCGACTCGAAGTGTGAATTCGGACCCTGGAAGAGGTTCCCGATGGATGCTAGGACATTATGGAACCAGCCGTTATTTGACTTGGAAGGTGTAGAAGATGTAGGTTGCATCGTTGATGTTGGCGGTGATGCGGGGTTATGGATAAGGTTGTCGTTGTGAGCTTGGAGGGACATCAACCTGCTTAGCGTTGGGATATGAGATATAAGATATTGACTGTAGTATAGAATATGGATATCACTCGTAGATCAAGATTAAGATCACGATCAAAGCAGGAGCAAGAGCAAGTCGTAACCAAAGAAGATAAAGGACTGACTGAACACGAACACGCGATACAGCATTAAATAACCACGATAAACAATCACATGCAGCTGGAATTCCATGTACATGCAATGCAATCCCCCCTCTTAGGATAATGAAATGACCCTATCAGATGACCCCATGCAACTCGGCTTAAAAGCGCGGAATTCGGTGGGAAAAAAAGAATTGAAGAATAACGATGGGGGCTGGATATCATGTGCTGATACCCAATATGGTATTCTTTGCAGCTTGCATGGTTGACACTCGACTAGCATGCTTGTCTGCGAATGATTTGGATCCATTTACTTGGGGTTATAGGTATTGGTTAGGTGGAGGGGCTGATCTACGCTCTACTGCAGAGTTGTCTCCTTCAGGGAAAGTATGTAGATCTGTCTCTTGATGGGGGGCGTTGGGGTCACTTGGTGGTGATCGTTTGTTCCTTTTCGGGGTCGAGGGTTCTTTGTGTTACTGTCATGTGTTGTTCTTTTATGGCTGAGACAACGTTTTTTTTACCTTTTCTTTGTTGCTTATGTGTAGTTGCGCATGTTTTCAATTACTATGGGTTGGTTGGCTGGGTCTTGCCCTGTAGTTGGAAAGAAGTAATTATTTTGATTTGGACTATGGCTGTCGGAGTATACATCTAGTTATAGGCACGACAGTCTTCATTTATATGGAATCCCTTATCAAATGGTATTTATCTATGCTCAAGGTGGCGTATCTTTTGCTGCTTGAATCATAGGCCGTTCCACCACACCGTTTGAGCGACATCAAAGCCAGCTGAAAGTGGAGTGTCGTCGCTGGAAACCCCGACCAAAACAGTGTATCGACCCGTTTCCTGCACCCAGGCATTCCGATACTCGTCCCAGAAACTGGTTGCATATTTCTTCGGGACGCTGATAGTGGCCTTTTCCATTTGACCTTCCTCCGCAAACACTTTGTCGATACCCTTGAGCTCTTTGATCGGTCTGTTTATACTCGGCGCTTGTCAATGAGTTTCCCCAAATTAGAGTATTTTCCTGTCCAACATCCCTGTATCACAGATCCGGCTGCGAGTCCGTCAACTGATGGAAACCTTTTAGAGGCAAGTAACCCGTCAACCCGTTTTCCAAACTCTTACATCTCTCCTGCAGACTTGAACGAACCTGAAGATCTGTACGGACAATGACCAGTCTTTATAGTATAGTAGTTGGATCTGAGACTGACTATAAGATGTTAGGGGCCAAAGGAAAAAGCGGACTCTATTATCCTTGGATGTAGTCCTATAATTTATAGCAATCGCTCTTCTACGTCAAACCTCCGCTTTATATCACGAATAATCCATTTATGCACTGCAGTCTTAGAATACCAACAAGAGAAGCGTGGATACTTGATGATAACACAGTATAACAATTGAACGTTGATAGGCCTAGCATAGTCCACAAGGTAATTACCAATGTGAGAAGAAGCTGGCAATATCCCACATGTCCTAGATATATCACTCGAACTGACTATTCCAATGCCGGCACCGTCAAACTAAACACATTATCTCGATCAAAGCCAAGCTTAAGGTCCTTCACTACAGTCGCCATAGACCCATAGACTTTCTCAAGTACCTCATCCGCCTCCTTCCCCCGAGTATTAAACAATGAAACATAAGCCGTAGCCAACAAATTCTCAGGCTCGACAGCCCCCATCTCACCAAGAATCCCCTCCGCCCAACGTTCCGCCTCAACCGTAACCTCTTGAACCGTGGCATACCCCAGAATTTCCAACATGAAATGCGGCTCCCGAGCAACGAAAACAGAAGCATGGTCCTGGGGCTTAGCCGAAGGCCCCCTCAACTGATGAATAGACAACATAGTCCCCGGATCCTGCGGCATATCCCGCAAACGCCGTCCAATAACTCTAGCCACAGCCGGAGAGATAGAATGCACACTATGCGTAAAGTTACCTGAGCCATACACAGTCGCAGGAACCAAGTGCCCATTGCCAGCAAGCCATTCTGGCATCGTCGTAGCAGCAACCGTATTCACCATAAGAGGAACGAGAGTCGCTATCTTGTCACTCCAGCGCTGGCCCTCCTGCACATCACTTCCACTCCAGACAAAGCTCACGCCGTACATACGACCAGGCGGGGCGTTGACGACCATTTGTTGGAGTGTCAGTTGTGGAGGCAGACTCTCTGTATCGAGGAGTGATTGATAAGCTGCATTGAAATCAACGAAAGTCTTCTCGATATCACTTGATTCAAAGAAGATGCCACCGGCTAAGAGATTGGGCAGTGGGTAGACCTTAACCGTGAGATCGAGAATGACGCCGAAGAGACCACCCGCGCCACGGATTCCCTGCAGGATTGTTTTGTCTGCTGTGACTATTTCCCCGTCTGGGTTCATGATCGTCGCGCCTAGGATCTGGTCCACGCCTAGACCCCAGTTCGAAGAGAAGGGCCCGTACCCGCCGTACATGGCCCAGCCGACGTAGCCGACTGATGGGACTGCGCCGATGGGTGTGCCAAGGCCTTCGGTCCAGAGGTACTTGCCTACTTCTTCTTGGAGGGTCCCGCCTTGGATGGTTGCGGATTGTCGGTCCTCGGATATGGAGATTTTGTTTAAGGCCCGGAGGTCGATCAACAAGGCGTTTTCGACTAGTGTTCGGCCTTCTAGGTTGTGGCCTCCTGTGCGGAGGGTGAAGGGAAGGGCGTTGGCTTTGGCATATTTTATCAAGGTTGATATCTCGCTTGCGGTTTGGGGATACAAAATTGCTAGTGGATTGTCGGGGCGGCTTGCACTGAAGACTTTGCGTGCTTGGGTGTATTCATCTGAAAATGGAAGGGTATATTTTATCGACTTGGCTTTCAGGAATGTTTCTAGAGCTGAGGTTGCTGGCTTCATGTCGGACATGATGGGTGGGTGGGTGGTGATAGTTAATTGTATTTAGAGCTTGTGGTTTTGTGTTGTGTGAATGAACGTCCAATGTCAGACGATGGGCCTTCTTTATCTGCTGGGCTTACGAGCCTTGACTGCTGCTGAGGGGCCGAGCCAGCCCCCGGGGCTGAGCATATGCATAGTTGGGGGCCATAAACCGGCAACGTATGATTTTGGCGTCATCAAAGACAGCAAATATTGTCAATGCTTATGTCTGACATTGGTCTCTTACTAGCGCACTGACCCCGATACACGAGAAGCTTAGGAATCGTCATGGCATTCGGATCTATTGAGATCCGAGACTCGGACTTATGAGGTTTTATTGTCGATCTCCGCCACGTGCTGCGTCGATCTTCGCGGTTTATCGTCGATCTCCGAGCAACCAACGACCGCAGAGGAACGAGGCTCGGATCTTCGGTTTTAGAAGCAAGGGAATTATCCTGTCTTCTCTTTGCTTTTTCTCTTCTTGTCTTGATATCTTCACAAAAAGCACTTTACCTAATAGAGACTACATCTTTTCGCGCTGTAGATTTGGCTCATAGTACCTACAGCGTTTGATACAGACTGTTGTTATGATAGCTAGTTATGAAACATCCCAAAAATCTGTACAAAGCCTTCATAATAAAATTTGCGTTCGAAACAAGGGAACTACTTGTTAATGATTTCGGAGTGTTCGACACCAACCTCCTTCTCATTCGCAAGATAGTGATCTTCGAATGGAATTGTGTCTTCTCCATCAAAAAGGAGCGCGATCTCTTCGAGTGAATATCCCTTAGTTTCCGAATAAACGAAGTAAACGACGATAAACTCTATGGCAACCCATGGAATGAAGATGAGATAGAACTTCCACGCCATATTCTGAAGTCCAACAGCAACGCATAGGTAGAGATCAGGGTAAAGCAGGTTGATTATTGAAAGAAAGCCTGGCCTCGCATGCGAAGATAGAATAGGAGAGTCTCGGCAATATACTTACCATAGTGACAATAAATCTAAGCATGCTTAGCAAAGTCGCTTAGTAGGCAGATAAAAAAGAACGTAGGGGGGTGCTGATGTTTAATATATGGCACAAGCCACCAATCATTTGTTACATACTAGATAGTCTCCTAGACCGAATATTACGGTTCCTAGGCCTCTTCTTCCCGTTCCTGACTCTTCTCCTTTCCCTTCCTCAGTTTTTGTTCTTTACGTTGAATGATACAGCATCATTGAATTGCTCCTGTGTTACCCATGACTAATTGGTCGTCGTTATGTTAGAAGAATCCTGGGTTATACTTGTCTGTGCTTCTCTGTCTTCCAACGTCAACGACCTGTTTCTCAACCGTACCGTTGCCTGTCAGACTTTTACGCTAAGTCCAATTGATGGGCTGAATGGGAAAGAACAGAGACGCCACGCAGCCATGGCCTTCGCCCTTGGCTTTCGGTAGAAAGGCCGCTTGTTTTATTTGCTATATTCATGGCAACGCTTACGGCCCACGACTAGGTTTACTCATTACCTAAATAGTTTCAATTTGATTGATAACGATCCTGTAAAGCACACTGTGCCTTTTTTTTGGCACCAGCTGTTTGCTAAAAATCCGAACCAGAGGAAAGCCAAGGTGCGCACCTAATACCCGGCATTCCCAGGATAAGATGGGATTTCCTGTATTCTATAAACTGCCCTGGGCCATCCTCAGCCACTTGAAAGACTTTTGTATCGATATCAAGCCACAGTTCCTCAAAACCAGTCAATCGTAGCTCAATACCACCCTTCACCATACTTAGATCCAAGGCGATCTTGAAGGGCTGGCCGGCGTATCCGTGAAAGATACCGAGGTTCATTCCATACACTTCTAAAGTGACCTCCATCTCCATAGTTTCCATGTGTATGGACCCCGACACCTGTTTTGAAACCATATAGTCAGCATGCGCATTGGAAAGCCAAATGAATCCTATCACTTACTGCAAATATACCCGCAGTCGAACTGAAAGGCATCCGATCTTTCCTCTCGTAATCAGACAGTGTTGGGTTCGCAACCTGGCCTATCTTGTAGGCACCATGGCTGGTCCTAGATTGCCGCACTAGAAGGACTTTATTTCGTAAGCAGGATTGAGTATCGCAAGAATGAAAGGGCCTGCCTACCACTGTGGAACATGATGAGAGCTAGTAAGTCCACTGGTATTCAACCCACGGTTAAGAAGAGGGAACCTCAGGTTTTCTCTGCGCCCTCGATTTCTGTTCCTTGTTCCTTTATAATGCTATGATTATTGATTATTTCGGCGAACCAGGATTGTGATCCAGTCTTTTCATTTGTTGATGTACGTAGGCTGTGACCTGCCCTGCAGCTCCCTCGATGCCCGTTTAATTTGCCATCGACACATTCCAGCAGTTACGGGGTCTACCGTTACTAGCCCATGTTGACTCAGTCCAGCTAACTTTCTCCTTACATTTCGTTTCTTTTCCTGCTTTAAATTGTGATTGTTCATTTTACTGTGAGACAATTGCGGCGACCAAATTGCGGTCAGCGTTCACGATCTGGCCAGCAATCCTCCGATACCAGTCCAAAAATCAAAATATTGCTATAATGATTCTGATGTATTGTCTGTGGGTTCAGTATTGCATTGCATATTTATGCAAACTACTGCATCTGTGAACTTGTTGCCACTGAGTGGAGGATGCTGCATGCGCCGATCTAAATCTACCAATGAAACCACGTCAACATACTAGGTTCCCAGGTCGTAAATTAGAAAAAGTAATATTTCAATAGTATGGTATTCAATAAACGACTCAACTTGCGCAGATCACAGAGCTAGCCCAGCTAGGCCGGATATGCACGAGGGAGCCAGATTCAGCTGAGCCCGACCGATCTCCTTGCAGATGTACGAGTGCTGGCCTGGATCTCGGAGCTGCTGGTTGTAGGTAATACTTCACGGCTTAGTGTCCGTACCCTTCAACCTACTCTCGGCGCTACTCATACGATTCCCTGACATTTGGGTATTTGAATTGCCAGGTCGCAGCCATGTGTTTCAAAGCAAGGACGGTAAAGGCCGTGATTGAATATGCATGCTGATTCGCACGAGTTGGTGGCGCAGCTCGATCAATCTCTGTCTGGTAAATCCAGAAGAACCTTACATAGAAATGCTGCGTTCAGTCGGCCAATCCTGCCCAAGTGACAGGTAATGCTCAATATTATTTCACATACACAATTGCGTTATCTGATGGACGATTTTGAGGTTTTCCAAGTGAGCGAATATATATCTCTATGACACGGGGGTGACAGTAATAAAGCATTAACGGATATATTTCGAAAGGCTACCCTCTCTTGGCAGACAAGGGGTGGTTAAAGAAGAAAGTCAACTTCTAGGGTTCTAAATAAAATTCAGTCTTCTGATAGGAGCGCATCACAACCTTACTTCCAAGTCTACAGACACTTGTTTATGGATACCTAGGTAACTGACGAGGACGGAGTCTTCACAGTATACAGATACTAGTCAAGTGTTTTTACCCATGGCCCAACAACCAACTCACGTTTTTCATTTCTCTCGTACTATACATCTTCAACAATGCTCCGATCGCAATGAAAATAATGCCAAACAAAAAATAGCCGAAAGGCGCAGCTTTCAACGGTCCAAAGATCAGAAATTATCTTCCCCCACATGAAGATCATCCAACAATATGTCAGGCTGGCTTGCGAAAATAGTGATAGCGGTCGCGAGATTCTTGACCCAGGATCTGGCTGCTTCCAGCGACATGGACTCCTCAGACGCACACAGCATAACCTGTAACTTGGAGTCTTGCGGCGAGGACAAAATCCACATCCCGGATTGCGGGATGAAATATGCCCAGCCAGACGAGGTACACTCAACGTCAGGTAATGAGAGAGTGGAAGCCCGCGCAACATTCTGATGTTGAATAATACAGGGAATAGAACTATCCTGCGACCAGTCTGTGCTGGTGTGGACAATATCTGCGAGATCCACGTAGTCATGCGCAAACGTCGCAGACTCATTGCTTCTGAACGTGCTGCAAAAGATCGAGAGCACTCCACCTGGGCTGCAGCTTGACCCGGAATGGAATGGTATTCAAACACGGACCGAGCATCTTCTCGATGCCTGCGATGGGCATGCTGCGCCCGGACACTGTTTGGCCCAGGACGATGTCGTGTTGACGGGTATGCCGGGTGAAGAGCCAGGCTGCAGCGGCCTTGACAAGGCTTGCGACGGTCAGGCCCGCCGGGAGACTGGGCATGGGAATACTCTGTCCAGCTGTAATGCGAGAAGAGTTGGAGACATTACTCGGGCTCAGAGGTGGGGTGTTTGTGGAAATGTCCAATGGGCGTACGGAGGAGTTGAGCAGATACTGACGCCAGAAGTCGAATGTCGCCGTATGATCTTGCGAGGAGCGAAGGTGCATATAGCTGGCAAAATTCATTATTGCCTCCGGTGCGTCCCCTGTGTACGCCTCTGCCAGGGCAGCCATCAGAGTTGGCAGCGAAAGACCATCATACTGGGCGTGGGAGACACGGAGGATGAAAGCGTGCTCGGTTGCAGATCGCGACACAAGCTCAAAACGGAGCGGCGCAGCGTTAACCGTGGATGATATTTCCGAGTCGCTCTGCCAGATCGAATCGCAGTAGGTCAGCAGGTCCTCCACCGTGGTGGTCTGATAAAATGGTAGGTCAACGTCCTGAAGGACTGCCTGGAGCAACCCGTGATGCGTTTGTATAAAGGCAGTGCGGAGAATGCTGTGAGCAGACACAACAGCTTGACAAGCACGACGAAGGCGTCTCCCATCAACAAACCCAGTTAAGAAGTAGCAGGCAAAGAATGGGGTCCACCGAGTGAGGAAGAACTGCTGACTTTCAGTCACTGGCAGGATATCAGCAATTTGCGATTCCTGCTTCACAATTTGCAGCTGTACTAGCTCACGCGTGGCCTCTGCTCGAGCCCCATCGTTGACTAGCGCAAAGGGCTTAATAGCAGCACTGCTGTAGGGTTTGGAATTGCTGGCAAAGGAGCCATTGTGGGGTGCTACATGACCGGCCAACTTGGACAAGCGAGGATTGTCCAGAATATCAGCCACGCTTATTGCGACTCCGTCCTTGCGGGCTTCTGCCACCATATACATCGCACTGATGGAGTCGCCACCGAGTTGGAGGAAGCTGTCGTCGAGACCAACCTCGTCGCATGGGATCTGCAAGGCTGTGGCGCAGAATCTCTGAATCTTGTTTTCCATCTCGGTGGCTGCTCCGAGAGCTTTTTCTCAATTGTGGCGCGGAACTGCTTGAGTTCTTCATCTGGCAACTCGGCCAATGTCTTTCGAAGGTATTTCCGGTCCACTTTGCCGCTAGATGTTTGTGGCATGTGTGCGAGATTGATCATCATCGACGGGATCATGAAGCGAGGCAACCAGTCACGAAGCAGGGCGAGAGCCTTGGTTGCCCGCTCGTCGAAACCTCGTTCCGGCTGGTAGAAGGCATTGCAGCTTGCGATCGTCGCTCCAGCGTCTGGAATGGTGTCTTGGTGGCTTTCGACGGGGACATAGATAAATGCTGCGAGAAAGGGTGCTCCATGGCCTTCCGGCGAGACGAGCTCGACCACGACCTGGACAGGAGAAGAGAAACACTTCGCCAGATGAGTCTCAACGTCAGCCAGCTCGATCCGCTGGCCACGGATCTTGACTTGGGAATCCATTCGCCCGACGAAACTCAGGGACCCATCCACATTGTATCGCATCAGGTCGCCGGTCCTATATACGCGACTTGGGCCACGACGGAGCTTTCGGACGTAACCGGGCTCCGCGATGAAGGCTTCCTGGGTTTTTGTCGCGTCATGCATATATCCCGGTCCGACAAAGGAGCCTTCGAGTAACAACTCGCCCACCGCGCCGATGGGAAGGAGCTTTTCCGGATCCTCAGGGACCACCAGCCAGGCGGCACCCCCCGTTGGGAAGCCGACGGAATTGTACGGATCGTTGGGGCTCTCACTGTAGTACCGAAGGTGAGTCACACCACACTCGGCTGGCCCATATCCGATCATCAGCTTCATGTAGGGACTCCAGGCGGCAATTTCCGACGGCTGTGTTGGCTCGCCACCCAGCATGAGTGCTCGGAGCGATGGAAGATCCTTGGGATCAAGCGAGCGCATGAAGGAAGGCGTGAGGACAGCATGAGTCGGACGGAAGGTGGTTACGGTGTCAATGACTTGGGATCAGCTGAAGGCACATACTGCGGTGCAAGACAGCAGCGGAAACAGCCCTGGTGTACTAGAGTCCAATGCAGAGCGGACTCTTGCTCAAATCTGGGCAGACCTTCTTCAACTCGACCCGAATCAACTGGGACCTGATGACGACTTCCTGGTCCCTGGGGGGTGACTCCATCGTCGCCATGCGGGCTGTTGCAATGGCACGCATCAAAGGATTGGGTCTGACGGTATCAGACATTTTTACGACCCCAAATTTGCGCGAAATGGCCCAGAGCGCCAGAGTGTTGAACAACACCTCGGGTACTCGCCGAAAGCCGGTGTGCCTGGTGCACGATGAGGCCCATACAACCTGTCTCTCCTATCTCCGTGATCACACCTCATTGTTGGACTCCTGCCCTGAGACACCACTGATTCTCCCAGCGAGCGAGATCCAGAAGTTTTTCATTGATCGCAGTTGCTTTGACTGGTTTGCCTATATTTTGGAGGGCAGTTTGGATTTCGACCGCCTGCAGGCCGCGTGCGACATGGTAGTAAAGAAACACAGCATACTGCGAACCTTTTTCACCCAGAACGACCGTCGCATTCTTCAAGTTACTCTACCACACATGAAAGCACCGCTACATCGTATTACGACCGCTCGCAAGGTGTCTGCGGTAGCCGAGAAGCTCTGGAGCCATTCTTCTTCCCAATCGCTACCAATGGATCTTCTCCCCTTTCGGTTGATACTTGTCTCCAACACCGAAGCAAATCAACATGCGTTAACTTTACGGCTGTCTCATGCCCAATACGATGGTCTTTCTTTGTCAACTCTCACTGAGGACCTCGCCGTAGCCTACGGTGGAGGCGCTCTCTCTTTCAGCCTACAGTTTTCTGACTACGTCGAGTGTACTGCCCAGCAAGATCATACGGCCAGCTACGCCTTTTGGCGCAAATACCTGGAAGGTTCTACTATGACAAACCTACAGGACTGCAAATTCGATACTGAGGACCGAGCAACCAACCCAGAGGATTTCGAATCAGTAGACGCAAAAGCACTTGTCACGTCCCCCTGTGAGCCTCCGGATGGAATCACCATGGCCACGTTGATCAAAGCAGCGGGGGCCCTAGTGCTTGGCCAACTGACTCACAAGAAAGAGGTTGTTTTCGGCCAAACAGTCAACGGACGCAGTGGGCTCCCTCTTTCTGGGATTGAAAGCATTCTGGGGGCTTGTCTCAATTTCCTTCCCATCCGCATCGACACACTACCAATTAGCTAACTTACAGTAGGTCAGAAGTCCAACATTTAAAGCGGAGCCGCTTTCAAAACGGCATATTTGTAAGAGAGGTGCAACATTAGCACAGAAGTCAGATTTGTCACTGTAGACTAAGAGGAAGGTTTAACGGATAACTTTGTCACAATCCCTCTCTGATACTGGCTGCAGACACCCCCCGTGGGATAGAGCTATACAGCTTTCTGTATCCCTTTTGTTCGTTTTCCTTGAATTATTATGATAAAGTCTTTTCTTTGTATCTGGAAATGGGGCTACTTCCACACACAGCCGCCGGTTGCCATTTGGATTTTCACACACAGCTTTCTATATCCTATCCGAGGCCTATAACATCAGGCCATCTTCCATAAAAGCGCTCCACGCGGAATTCTCCAGCGCAATACAAACATCCCAAGGGGCTTCACTAAGATTCATTCCCCCCGCATCATTCATGTTACTGCCGCAGGTTGGCAAAATATCGCAGATACCAGGGTACATTCCTGACTGCACATCAAAACTATTGACACGGCCTATCTCCGAGCCAAAGTCAAGACCGTTGATCTCTAGGTGTCTCAAGATGCTCACTGTTATATCTGTAAATCTCATACTCGTTGCCCCCAGTCAGATTGCTCTCGAAGGTAAGAGATTAGTCCTGCCATATAAGTTTTGTGGTCGAGAAGAATCAATTCTTTCCGGGTCCGGAGAGACAAAGTCGTGAGTTCATTCAGATCTGCATGCAAGGGAGTTGTCCCACATCTTGGGGTTGAGTGAACCGTTGGAGGATCGATATCGACGACCAGTGGGATGATGGTATTTCCGAGGTAGCTTTCCGGAAGACTAGGGTGGAATTTTCTGCGCAGATTCACGGACACCCCAAGTGAGGAGGGGAGGTTGTTGGTCTGCTGGTTTTTCCGAGCTCGATTCATACAGATGGCAAGTAATGCCGTCAGGACGTCATTCCTGGAAAGGATGTATAGGATCCCAATTAGCTCGGCGGCGTGTACGGACCATCGATCCATATGCCCAACCTACACTTATATGCTATCGATTGTTTGTAGTGAGTCATTCAGCACGGCCGCTATGGCGCCTAAATGGCTATGCAGTCCCGAGGCGTCCGAGTATACCACAATATCCGCGGTTACCCGTGTAGTCCCGGCTCTTTCTATCGGGACCTCCCTATCTAATGTTACGCACGACTATCGGGTCCTCGCTATGTCAGAAGATTCCTGGGTTATACATGCCTAAATGCTTCCTTGCTTCCAACGTCAACGATCTGTCTGTCAACCGTACCGTTGCCTAATAGGCCTTATACGGGATAAGTCCTTTTGAGGGTTATCGAGGAGCGATGCTAGGTAGAGCACCAAACTAACCTATACCGGGGTATAGATCTATTCGTAGTGTTATCAAGTTATAACCAAGTTGTACGAGTCACCAAAGGTTCTGAACCGTAGACATAAGTAACAATGTATGATTGAACATGAAGAACTAAGCTAGATACATGAATGAGTGTCCTTATATATCCTTAGTCCTTCCAAAGTAGAACAGTAGAATGGCTCTACTTGTCGATTGTCGACCTTTCTAATACCTACATGAACATCGTGTTCCTAGCACGGAACATGATGTGGTAATAGAGAACAAAACGTGTTTGTGCGAAGAGGGCCGGAACTGGCCTTTGGTCGCCCAGAGGTTTTCTGTTATGTATAGGTACCTATACACGTCACCTAAGTAGAGACTTATACCTTACGTAGTGCTGTGACTTACTAGGGATGTATGCTAATTTGCTGCCGGCAGAATTTGGTTTGACATAGTGGCTGCAATAGACTGCCGTAGCGTATAATACTACATGGAGCGGCAAGCAAGGGTATGATAAAGGTCACTGACAAAGTAGAGTTGGCTTAGATAGATGAATGAACTAATAAGCAAAGGACTCACAGCACCCTGGAGCATATAATGAACTAAATACAAGATAGAAGCGATCACCAAGCCTAGCGCCATCAACTTGGGGGGTGGAAAAGAAATTGTAGAAGACTATACAATGAAAGAGGAAATGAAATCGAAGCATTAGGACATCTCATTCGTGTACATGAGTATGCCCACAGCAGGTAGATGGATGCAAGACCCGTGAATAGGACACCGTAAGACAAACAGACAAAAAGCAAAACATAACAAAGAAAAGATGCGCAGGCAGATGCGTATGCAGCCAAAAGTGGCTAGATATTTCCATGCAACAGACGAGGCAAATGGCAAGAAATGGCGATTGAACCTGAGAAGCTCGAAGTGCGCCTATGCTACCACACGATAAGGGTGGGTGAGAAGGGGATAGAAAGACGTTGCTATGCGGGGTATCCAAAGGAAGAGACAGATAGAATCAAACATATTGGAAAGATCGTTGCAAGAGTATAGGGAACAAGTCCGGAGCTGAGGCCTGGGACTCTCCGAATAATGGTTTATTCGGGAGCGCTACTGTCCTCGCTTGTTGGCGCAGGGTCTCCAGGTGCGGTTTGTAGACTCGAAGGCGAATCTACACTATCAGGACTGCCGCTTCCCCATGAATCTTCCCGCATAATTTGTGCGGAATCTGGAAGGCCGCCTCTGGGTTCAAGCTGATCTGAGTTTTGTTTCTTGAAAGCCGTGCGAGCGCTGGACGGTGAGACAGGGTCCTTTTGGGCAGGTTCGGCGCGGTGACCACCTTGCATTGGGCTGGCGGCGGTGTCAATGGCTGGGGAGGTGGATCGAGGGGAATCCATGAAGCCTCGCCATTTCCGCCAGCCCTCAAAGTCAATGAGGGCTTGCATGCAGCCCCATTCTGTCACCTTCTGCTCTAGCCAAGGGAAACCAACAGGCTTGGTCAAGAAATCGTTGCAACCAGCGGCCAAGGCCTCGTGTCGATCACTTTGCAAGCTGCTGGCTGTGAGAGCGACGATAATGACTGGACTCCGGAAAAGTGATAAATCTGGCAAAGCGTCACCTTCACTGAGAGTTCGCTGGAGACCGGGTCTTCTATCCAGCAAAGCTGTACTAGACACACTAGAGCGTCCAGAGGCTGTCTTGGGGAAGACACCAATGCCATTGAGGCGCTCAAGACGTCGGATTTCCTTGGTTGCGTCTAGTCCGTTCATGACAGGAAGCTGGATATCCATCAACACTAAATGAAAACCGCCTTGTCGCCATTTCCGTACGGCCTCCTCGCCGTTTGCCGCACACTTCCAGCGCACTTTCAATCTCTTCATGAAAGCTTCCAGGAGCTTCTGGTTGATGATGTTGTCTTCCACAATGAGGACGTTAATTGGGGGAACGGTACCGTCAATCAATCCGCCAAAGACTGCACCGGGGGAGGTTGCCGCTTTGGCTTTGCGGACAGAGCGTGGGGATGATACTGCTGGGGGAGTGTGTGATTTAACTTGCGGGGACTCTGCTGCGGGTACTGGGGGGGTTGAACCAGCAGGAGCGGTTGTTGTTGGAGGAGGCTGAGAGTGAGGGGAAACGCCGGTTTCTATGGATGTCAATTAGTATTCCAAGCAAAGAGATACTGTATAACATACCTGTAACGATGGGAATATGGCCATGAATCGTAGGTGAGTTCGTTGCGTGTCGCGTCAGCGGAGGGCGTTGGTGATGCCGTCTGCGATTTCCCGGAGATGGCAGCGGAGGAACTACCCCGGTGTTGAGTACGGATATTGAGGGTGCACTCGCTGCCGCCGCCGGAACTGGGTGCGGATGTGCGGCCGGGCTGCTGGAGGTGGGGTTGACGGGCATGAGGGGGAAGTAATCGCCATGCTCGCCAGGTTCAGAGTGATGATGGGAGTAAATTGAATGACGCGGTGATGGCTTTGGTGTTCGGCGCGTCGGCGCTTCAATCATCAACGCTTCCTCGATTTTCTGCCCTCCTGGATAGTAAGCATCGAGTAGAGATGACAGAACTTCCTCCGGGCTCAAGAGACGTTCCGGGTGGGTTTGTCGATTTGATCCTTCTCGTGGCACTATTCTGATCACGATATCCGGCGGGTCAAAGCTTCTCCCTAGCGAATTGACATATTTCATGATCACCTGGTCGCGGAGCTCATCCACCACCGCGTCCTCCGTGCACGGCACCAAGGTGGCCGAGCCACCAGGCCGTTTGACCCAAACCCGACGTTGTATCATCTCGCGTGGAGGGGCGGGAGCAAAATCGCTAATCTGGTCTCCTAGTGCAGAGAAGATGTTCGCCTCCAACAGACCACTAATCAAGTGTTGATGTGACGCTGGCAGAAGAGATTGACGGCGGATCGCAAGGCTAGGTCGCTTGCTCGACGAAGGAGTGTAATAGGGCGCAGAAGGTCTACGGTCGTATGCAGGCCACTCAACAACGGTGTTGAGGGTGGGTGTCAACTGGTTCCCAGCTGGCGTTGAGGCTTGAACCTTGTGGGTGGACTGGAAGGAGGTGCTGTCGGAATGCTGAGGGGTTGGGAACGGAGGTGTTTCGAGGGGGGATGAAGGGTCCGAGAGGGGAGTATGTAGCGAAGAGGTATGCGCTTCAGGTGACGATGTACAGGTACGGTTCTCGGGCGTTGGCTGTCGGTCCGAATAAGGCGTGGAATCCGGTTCGTTCGGTCCTAGCGATAGGGGTTGGCGTTCGCTCGAAGGGCCGATGGCATCGGAACAATCTGGCGAGGAGACGATGCTATATGCCGGGGATTTGTTGGAGTCGACAAGCTGCGGAGCAGAGGGAGAGTTTGAGATAGGGTGGACGGGATCCGCTTCGTCCGCTTTTGGGATTGGTGATCGTCGTAACAGCTTCGCCTTCAGACGCGACAACCTGTCTGGCATCGTGGCAGTTCTCAAGCCATTCTTGAGAATGAAAATAGGGGAATCGTTGCTCTGAATAGAGGTAATTATGTGCACTCTCCAAGGTCTGGAGAGGAGAGAGAGGGGGTAAGTGCAAGTCACACAGGAACTAAAGTTAGCGTTCAATCAAGCTATGGCCACTGAGACACCTGTGATTTGCTTCAACTAACTTATTCGGGGATTCACCGCTTGTGTACAGCTTCAATTGTCTTTCTGCCCAACACTTACACTTTAGCCTGATTACATTCAAGTTGATGTAATACAAACTACGCTATATAGGTGATTTCCATCCCCTACAATCAAGCTAAGGGGCTGCAATGAGCATTACTGACCTGTAGGACGCCAAAGTGTCTAGTAACTTTGATGAATTGTCGAGTCACTTTCGGGTCATAGATAAAGCCAGGCTATAAGAATTGACATGGATAGCCTGCATACCAGTGTTTCATACACGGTAGGCTCGCTAGTGTTCATCAGTGCCACTAGAATTTGGGCCCCAACTTCCTACTCTTCGGCCTTAAGGCATAAAAACGCGAGTCATGAAACAGCGTCTATTCACAATCTAACTATATGATAGATCACAAAACTTCTTTGGCAATCAACACTTTGCAATAGGATCATTTCTTCCATCATCTGATGTTCCTTATTTCATATCCGTTCGTGTCTGATTCTCAGCCACCTCAGAACCAGGGATAACCCCTTTCTCGAGGTCCTGCGTGTCTCGAGTATTGTTTCCATCCATGGAAAGTAGTTCATCAATGCTCATGCCTGTGGCTTTTGCCTCTTTGCGCAGCTTGCGATATCGAATGCGCCAGATGATGTGGCTGATATATATTCCCGCCTCGAGAACAACCCTGCAGGTTTCTTAGTATTGAACGGAAAAATTAGTTAAATGAAAACTTACACCAAGATATACATAATCCCTCCCAAGATATCAAATGAGCCTTGAGCCGCTGTGTCCACATTAGCATCTTGTTGAATATTCTGGGACTCGGGTTGATCGTACCTAATGCGAAGAGAGAAAACAGTCCACCAAACGTATCAATCGACAAAAAGACCCAATCTATCAAAATAAATGTCTATCCCAAGAACTGAAAGAGCAGAAATAACTCACTGAACCCAATAACGCGCCCATCTCTCTTCCACAGCTCAAAGTACGGCGGCAACAGACCCGCACTGAGAAAGAGAGTAGCCACAACGCCAACCACAATATCAGGCCATGTCACACCGTTGTTATACGGAATCTATCATCCAAAGTAAGACCTCCACAGAAGAAAATAAAAAGGACAATAGAAGCAGTAACCATACCCTCAAAGTAAGAATCAGAAGAGCCTCCAACCCCCCAAACAAAACAATCATCCCCGAGCAAACCAAAACAGCCCTGGTCTTGCTATAGTCACTATTAAAACCAAAGATCAGCAACCACGCACGCAGTAAATTCAAGAACGCACCGAAAACAAGCAAGCCCAAGAAAACGAAACCCACTTACTGATTATAATAGAGAATCTGACCCCAACTAACAAGCGAAAAGAACCCAAAGATCTGGGGTTGGATCTGTAATGGGATATTGACTTGCTACGCAACGAGATGGCATAAATAAGCAAACAACGTAACATAAGTACTGTTTCAGTACCATTCCCCAAAGAATGGAGACAAGACTCACCTGCAGAATCAGATATGCTCCCATTGGCACGGAACCTGCATGAACCACAATGAGTAAAAGGCAATTCCACATTGAGGGTATATTTCTTTTTCAAATTGTGCTTTTTAGACATATCTCCGTTGATACCAGAGCTAGATTAGAGGCAGATTAGGAAAGATCAATTACTCACAGCATGCCCAGAGAAACATCATCGAAGCAGGAAATCCATCTGTGTTCTTGCGGCGCCAGTTGTGCCATATTTGAGGGATTAATTGGATGCACCAGAGGACTGTGCCGATTGTGCCGAGGATGTTGGATGATAGGGTTATATTCGAGGTTGACATTGTGGGTTGGTATGGCCGGTATGGATATCGAGTAGAGAGGAATATTGAGGATATCGTGAGATAGCAACCCAGACTCGACTTGGGGCCCGTAGAATAGAATATAAAAAGAAAGACCCTGTATACAACGAAGACCTTTGAAACGTCAATACTATACCACTACCCCAAGCCAGCGATATGAGACGATACTTATAATAACCTGAACTCACACACCAACAGCGAGACAGACCTCCAGAATGGAACCCAGTATCTTCCCAAAACGCAACAGAGGCAGATGCACAACCGGAGACTTAAGCCACACAGGACCAAATAGATCAGCAAGAGACCCAATCTAATCCAATCCAATCGACTCCCTTCCACTCACCTGCCCTGCAAAACAAGCGTCGCGCGTGAACACCTGATCTCGAGGTAACCAGTCACAGTCCGTGACGGGATGCAGGCGTCTGCGTTGACGGAATATCTTGTTCAGGTTTGGGTCTAGGTTTGTCCCGATGGGAGGGGACCTGAGGATTTCCGTCTTTGGACGGGATGGGTATACAGTATGCAGCAGATTGGAAGTATAGAGGCGATTGTGCAGAGGAAGAGTATAGGAAAGAGACCAGGAATAGGATTAGGAATAGAAATAGACAAGTAATGAGAAAAAGAACAGGGAAAGAAAACGAAAGCCTGAAAGCAAGCAATGCAGCGGTGAATGTCTAGACGCCGGACCCAGTTGGTGTTGGACTGTTATTCGGTGATCATCGGTGGTGCATTAGTACGAGGTGTGTGATTATGGGTGTTATCTTGAGTTTGTCTGTAAGGTGGACGAAGAAGAGACAAGAGAGACACAGAGGGAGGGTATAGTATACATTAAGATATGAGATATGGATTCAACCACCCTCGGAATATCCAAACCAGAGCTTCCCCAGGACAAACCCTCGAATCTTCCAATGATGCTTATTGGAAGAAGGGGAGAGATCCGGGCTCACGGACTAGCACTAGAGGGGGTAATAGACGGAGAAAGAGGTGGCTGCAGGTGCAGCGGTTAGTGTTAGTGTAGGCTTGATTTCTCCGGTTTGCAAGGTTATTCCTGGTCTGTCTTGTCTTGCTTATGTTATCTTGTCTTGTCTGGTCTAGTCTCGCTCTCTTGGCTGTCAATTGATTCTACTAACGGTTTAGAGTGGAGCTGCGGTGGGGTAGGAGGGGCTTTGTAGGATGGTGAAAGATAATGGGTTTGTTAGAAGGTTCGTTTGAGATGGCTTTAGCTTAACTTGTAGTTTTAGGTATACATCGGAGGGTATATGGATTGGTTCATTATATAACTTTGAAGATTAGACGGGGATTATGTAGTTGAGATTGTGCTTGAGTTCCTTGTTCAATTCTCCGGCGCACATACCACCCCGCACGTGGCTACCCGCTTAGATTTGACATGTCTATTTCGTGCCTGAAGTACTGATTTCATACTCGATAGTTGCCTGTGGTTCACACTATGGTTCGACACGAGTACACAGTGGATCAGCTGAACCGAGGTTGAGAGACAGTCGAGCCACGGTTTTCCCCGAATCAGGGACTGGACCTCGAATGTACCCACGGTTGGTCTAGATCAAATCTGCTGTGCGCGTAGAATTATCGAAAAGTAATGCATTGTGCTCGCACAAAGTGCTGACCATATATCCTAACATGTTACTTTTCGTTCATGCAGAAATAATCATGGCATTAAGATCTGTCAATCCTTGCCAATATATCCAACATGAGAACGAGATAACTTAGCACCAAAAACCACAAAAAGGAGCATAAAGAAAGACTCGGGATAACCACCCGCTGTAATAAACAAAAAGAGAAATCCAATAAACCCAGATCAACAATACGTTCCAAGAAAAGAAAATAGACATGTAACAAAGGAGGCCATCAAGACATCACGTTAGGGGAACCAAAAAATACACACACACACAGGTGGAGAGAGGATCCAAAGGGTATCAAGGGAAACAGGTTTTGCGAAAGGGGAAGCTCGAGAAAAGAAGACAGACATCAACCGTACAAACTCTGATCACAGAAGGATCAAGTAGTTGGAGGGTGCAATGCCGGTGTCTCCGTTGGATTTCCGAGCCTGCCACCATCGGCCGCTGACATCCGATACCTCGAGGATCTCGTGCTTGGCGAAACTGATCTCGTTCGCATCTTCCGGGTTGGCATCGTACGAGTAGATTGCTTTCGCGCGGTAGGGGTAATCGGTCGGCTGGGGCACTTCGCCAGTTTCTTGTTCGCCATTGCCAGGGGCACCGCTTGGGGTGCCGAAACGAGGCGCAGAGGAGTTTCGTTCAGCGCCGGGCGCACCACCGGGGTAGCCGGAAACGGGGGAAGAGGTCTCAAAGCCACCTAGTTGGGCTGAGGTGTACATCTGCGGGGTGTTGCTGGTGGCCACGGTCTCCGGGCGGGCGCCGAATGCGCTGGACATGGGCCGGCTGCCGCGGTAGGATGGCTCTGGGGGCTGCTCCTTGTTGAGGGCGAATGAGTCGATGAATCCGCGGTGCGAGGCTTGAGGCGTGGAGCCGAAGTAGAAGATCCAGACGATGATGACCATGGAGAGCAGGATGAAACCGGCGCCCGCAGCTTGCATTGAGCCTTGGGATTCGTAGATGGTGTTGTTTGCGCTCAGCGAAGTCAGAACAAGGCCACAGCCAAGATATCCCACGATCTAGAACAATGTCAGCATGGCCACGCAAGCCGCAATTTAGAGACAATCATACCGCGACGCCGTAGACGTGGCCAGTGTCGGTGCCAAAGGTCACAATCAGACCAATGATGACACAGAACATATAACTATTGGCCCACCATGAGTAGTTGGGATACTTGGTATTTTGCACATCGGCAATAATCGATGAAACGAATGCGATCAGCCATGCCAGCTAGACTGAATATTAGTGTGGATCGGTCACATCGGAGGACAAGGACATACGATGGAGATGGAGATGGTGGCGAGGGCGAATGGATCGCCAAGGATGTTGCTGGGGCGGAATTTGCCCATCTTGTGTGTATTCGGGGGCTTGTGGAACGAGGGAGTTGATGGAGTGACCATGAAAGATGTCTATTGATGAAATGACAGAGTGATTGTATATATGTAGAGGGCAAGATGATCGTTTGGTATATGGTGAAAGAGCGACTGTCTTGGTTAGCTGAATGTCAAACTTCAATGAAAGGGTGGAAGTCGCGATCCGATGTCAAGGGAGGAAGGTACCTTTGAGACAAAGACCAAGTGGGTTCACGCCAGAGACGGAAGAGGTAGAACAGAAAACCCCTTACAGAGAGAGAGGCGGAAAGCAGCACCAGGCTGGTAAAAAAGGGAAGTAAATGTGAAGAAATCGAGATGAAAAGAGTGACGGGAATGAAAAATGACGGGATTGAAAGAAAGAGGAGAAGTGAAAAGGAGGAAAAGTGCCAGGTACAAGTGTGGAGCCCCAACACACAGACGCGCCCCTGGAGTCGAGACTTGGTTTTACAGTACCGATTTATTTTATTTTGGGAATTAAGAATTAAGAACATGGATGTACTGGAAATTAATATTTAAATCTCATCTACAGAGTATTTCCCAAGAGTAAGGACTCGATCTTGTTGTCTTGATCTATAAATATCGTATTAGTCACCCGCGATGTTGATCGGGATGACGAGGCCTCCGTGTTCTCTCCTAACATCTTCTTCTTCTTCGTCTTACAGATTAACCTTACATATACATGTCCATGGCTATACGCTAACGTTAATATTAAGGCTGATTTAGGGCTTCAATTTTTGACAGTGACCCATTATGTTCTGGACCTCACTCCCTAATTTCCCGCAAAACTTGCTCCACGACCCACCATGGAGTTGGCTCGACCCGATCGTCATTTCACGATGGGTCTCTTACTCATTTCCTGTACCCTACCCTGCCCTACCTATACGTGTTTGGGTATCCATAACTACCATTTCCTAATAACAGGCACACATAGGTACACAAAGTCCTCGCAATACACTCACGTGTCGACCCGCTCGGCATCTGCGTCATATGTGCGTACGGAGTACTTGACTGTAGAGTGGCCCGTTCTCAACGTCGCCGTATGAGGTACAAGGTAAGGAATGTGATATCAGACCTAGATAAATTCAAAGTTTCTCTACAAAGTCAATTGTGGTGTCTACACATATAAGATGTAGTTCGTGACTAGTGTACTGTAGAGGCGGGGCGAAGAAGAATCTGGGGTAAATTTGCACATTCTAGTGACCTCGATGGAATGAGGGACTAGTCATACTGACGATCTTTCCACGCGAAAATGACGCGCATGATCTAGGAGATAGGTCCGATTTAAATGTAATTTATGTCGGACATATCATATTCTCGGCTGGGGTGAGCCGGTATCAGATAGATTTCTTGGGCTAGATTTGTGGCTTGCATCATGTTTTATCGAGATATGTGCATGTATATATGCAGGTACATGTAGACTCAAGGATTGAGGACTATTGGAATTTCCCTATGTAATAACAGCATATCATACGCCAAATCAGAGGATATCATAGAAAACAACAATAAACAACAAACAACACTCCCTCCCTCCTCCACCACCACCACCACCACCATAAATATGATCACCTGGCCCTACCTGCTACTTATAGAAACAGCAAGGAAACCAGCCTGCTAGTCACATCCCCAGATAAGCCCAGATCTAAACCTCCCCCTCCCTCCTCTCCTTAAAAACCTCCCTCCTCCTAACCTCCCTCTCAACATCCTCGAGTCTCCCCTCCCACTCCGCCCAACACTCTCCACTCCCAACAAGACCAACATCGTACCAACGCTGTAGCACACGCGCACTACGCACCCGCAACTCGGAGATCGTAGCCGCCTGCTCAGCCTGCGTCCGCGCAAGCCGGTCCAGCTGCGGCTGTAGCTCGATGAGGGCGGCGGAGCTTGCTGCGTCTGGGATGGGGAGGTCGTTTAGGGACGTGAGGCGCGAGGCGGTTTCTGGGAAGGCGGTTGCGTAGGAGAGGATTATTGAGGTGAGGGTTTGGGCTGTTAGGCCTTGGGGGATTTCGGTTGTTGGGGTTTTTTGGAAGAGGTCTGGGTTTTGGTCGTCTGGTTTTGGGGTTTGGGTGTTAGTTTGGACTTTTGTAGAATCTGATTGGATTGGGGGAGAGTTGGATGCTGGAGGATGGGGTAAAAGAGAGGGTGTATAGATGTCGTGTGGTGTAGGGAGGTATTGGGTTCGTGGTGGGGATGGGGATGGATAACATCCCCACTGCCCTGCACATACGGAGTTGGAGGACATCTCGCACAGCTGGAACGCTCCGGCTCAGTCTTTCCAGTTCCCTTTCTAGACGCGCGAGTTTGCGGGAGACTGTCTCGTCGAGTGATGTGGGTTTCTCGGGCGCGGTTGGGACGCCTGTCCAGTCTGTGGCGCCGGTGAGGAGGTAGGTGAGGCGGCGCAGGCGCGCCTCGAGGAGTTCAATAGTCGCTCCTGCTACTGCGTCGCTTTCGAGTGTCATCGTGTGTGAAAAGCAATGGGTGGATTGAGATGGGAGCTGGTTGAATAAACGTCGGAGCTAGCTGGAGTCGGTGCAAACACGGCAAATTGTGGGGACATGATAAACGTCGATCTATACCCTCGCTCTGATATCTTTCTCGCATGTTTATTTACTCTAGAATCTTACTATGAATTGAATTTGCTTCCATATAATACACATCATCTGAATACAGCTTACCGTGAGTGAGTTGATGCCTGAGAAATCTCGTAATGTTTACATTTAAAAGGGTAATAGATCCTGTAACTTAAGTCTTATTGCTATGTCCATAGATAACTTGAGGATATGTGGCTCAAGCCGATGCAGCTGTCTGTGTCCATAGATTTATCATTCACGTAAAATTTCCGACTGTTCAATGTGGCTATACATGCTCAGCATGGTCAACCATTTCCTCATCGTGCGAAGACTTCCTCTCCGATTCAACTTGCGATGTCTTCGGCTGAGAGTTGTTAACAGTGCCCTTGCTCAAGAGGCTTCCACCATCCCTCTGCTGCATCTCTTGCATTGGAGCTGGCTCGTCGTCGAATCCGGAGACCTCATAGTCAAAAACATTAACTTGCTGACGCTTCTCGGTCATCTCTGGCTGCTCGCTTTGCTGGGTTTCTGTACTGCTGGTTGGGGCCCAGGATTCCTCTTGGTCACTGTTGATGATGGTGGCAGTCTGGTCGAACTCAGCCTCAAAGGCGGCATTGTCTCTGTTCACGAAGCCCTGTTCTCGGTTAGCTAGAGACCAGATATGTGATCTTGCGCAACTTACCCGAAGTTGTGCTGGCGCAGGGTCCATCGGTGCCTTCATGGCATTCTCGCTTGCATAAACAAGTAATACAGATCTCCACTCGTCGCGGGCAGCTTGGAGCACTTCATCCTCCCGAACCTTCGAGGCGCTGTAGCCAACAACATCTCCATTCTGTGTTGTTGTGTTGTCTTCCTGGGCTTTCCGTTTCTCCGCTTGTCGGGTCTTTCCATCCTCCGTGGAATAGCTGATACGCCACCACTGGTCCCCGCTCTCATCTTCCATATCCATTAGGTCGGGGGAGCCTGCCTTTGCATTCGACAAAACATAAGTAATGTGTGGTTGAGTGCACACACCTCGTAGTGAGTACTTATACGTAGGGGGCTCGGAGGGCGATTCAGAAGGTTCAGTGAGTGTCTTGGAAATCTCGCGGAGGGATTTTACGGCGTTCTCCTTGCTAACCTCAAGCTCTGTTCTCGATTAGATAAGATTGGTTGCATGATGGTGCTAGCGGTTTTACCTTTGAGTTTTTCTTCGATCTTGGCGGCAATCGCTCGCAATTGCTCAGCAACTTGCTTCACATTCACAGTCGCCTCGCTGGAGGAATCGGCATTGCCTGACTTCTCCGGAACCACCACGGGAGCTGCTTCTGCTGCTCTCTCAAGCAGCTCCTTGACAGTGAGCTTGCCCACGGGATTCCGTGGGAAAGTGTAGTGGCGGATGAGTTTCTCAAAATTCCAAATTTCGCCCTGTATTTGCTGTCGCTTCAGGCGAAGTTCGCGAGCGAGATCACGACAGCTGCTGAGGTAACGATCTGGGTAAAACACAGGAGGAATCTTTACATCCACAGGGTTTGGCCTTTGTAGACAGTCGAGTTTGATGCATAGTACCTCTGCTATGTTTTCGATCCAAATATTCTCGAGCTCTTCCTCCGGTCCCTCGTTCCATAAAGCTCTATCTATGACCTCATATAGACTCTGGCCATGATCTGGTTCAACCGGAATTTCAAATGTGAAAAGATCTTTGGTGACGGGCTCATCGTAGTCATGAGATTGTTGCTTGTAGGCATGTGACGTGAAAATAGCTGCTAGCTGATTGTCGGGGTCAGCCCGAATGGCGGCGCCATGCCATGCTTCCAGAAATCGGGTGACCATCTCCTCTGAGTCGGAGGAGAACATCGAGAGACTTCGTATCCTTGCTAAGCTGTCGCTACTTCCAAAGGATCGTTTCGTGGAATCCATAAAGGCCATTAGACGCTGCGCTTCATGGATAACATCGTCCCAGTCGGCGTCTCGATTGCTATCATTCACTGTGACGATCTTGGGTAGGTTGATAGACTGCCCATTCCACCAGTGTGGCTCATGTCCGTAATCAAAAAGCGGTTTGTTTCGCAGAAGTAGCGCTTCCCTGGCGAGAGGAATCTCGTGGATAATGGTCAAGAATCCTCCTAGGTAAAGACCATCCTGGGTCGGGCGGATGAACGCAGGCTCACCCTCTGCTCTCCTGCGATCTTCCGGTTCGGGTCCAATCGTGACCTCTTCGGAGGACGTATTGAATAAAGTCATTGCCCAATCACCTTCCTCGTAGTGATCCCGAGTTGCCTTGCTGAATTGCGGCTGGCTACTCGATGTAACACCGATTTCCTGCTGTCCCAAGCCTGAGTTTAACGACATGGCGACTGCCTGTTGTAGCTCCTTTTCTTCGCGTTCCGCCAGGCTGAGACCCTGCCCGGTACCTGCTATGCCCTCGAATCAGTATTTGTCAGGGCCAATCACAGCTGAATTTCCAGTTATACCTTGTGGAGCCGTTGCTCCCGGTGCAGTCTTTTTATCCGTATCGTTCATATTCATTCGGGAGGGAGGACGCGAGGGCGGTGCTGTTGCGGGTATTGGGGGCGCATTGTCCTGCTGGGTAAAATCCCACGCTGAGGCGAGGTTTGTCAGTTCTCCGTCTCAACTCATGAAAGAGGTGCAAGCTTACAGCTAGCTCTTTTGTCATTGTAGTAGTTGTCTGCCTATTTAGAATGTCAGATTGTACCCAGACGATGCGCCATCGCGATTCAAGTTCACCTTCGGCTGAGGACCGGCCAGTTCTTCAAAGTAGGCGTTGATGGCTTTTTGTGAGTCGAGGTTATTAGCCTAAGACCGTGTTAGCTGGCAAGGTGTCGAGTGTAAGCCGAGTGTAAGCTGAGACCTTCAGAAAGTTGATAGCTTGCTCGCGCGTCGTGCTCGTGAAGCTGACAAAGTTCGCGATGGCGTCCTCGGTGGGTTCGGAAGCCATTTTGCAATGAGGAAATCGAGACGGGGACAATGAAAACAAAGAAAGGTCGAGAGGAGGGAAGACTCGCGCATCGGAGCTTCCCCACCACATGACGCCAAGCGTTCCGCTATTTTTGTCCCTTTGACCCTCTCTCTTTATAGATGTCTTCTTCTTTCAACACCCTCCAGCATTTTCATTCAGCTATGAACCGCGCTTCAAATATACTACCGGTCGCATCGCGAGTTCACGTCCAAAAATATATGCGCTTCACCACCCTTTCCAACCATAATGGCTTTCTCGAGGCCACGGTTCTCTTGGATTCGGGACAAAGCAATGCCTCCTAGCTCATTCAACATGTGCTGTAAGAGAGTCAAAATGACGGATTATAAATACTGTTCTATGTCCTTCATTGACTCCATTCCAGTCCCACGGCAATCAAGAGTTTTTCTATACTTGTTTCAAAATTTCTGTCATCTATAAATCCAGCTCGGTTCAAAGATGGCCGTCAAGATCCCTGTGACTGACAGGGTCCTCAGATCAAGGGTTAAACAGCTTGCCGCCCCCAAGGTCACTGCCGTGGTTAAACCAAAGGCCACCCCCAAGCCAAAGGCCGCCCCTAAGCCCAAAGCCGCCCCCAAGGCCAAGGCTACCCCCAAGGCCAAGGCTACCCCCAAGGCCAAGGCCACTCCCAGGCCTAAGGCTACTGAAGGTAAGGTCACGAAGGCAGAGGCCGCGAGGAAGGCCAAGCAGAGGGCTTGGTCACGGAGCACTGGAGGCCTAGCTAAGCTTGATTTCTCCCCAGCTAGGGGCTCGGAAGCCGCGCTACAATCGCGGGCAAACTCCGACGCTCTCGAGATCCTCTCAGCCATGTACTTTGACATCAATAGTTTGTGCAGCCTCCAGAGAATTGTACAAACAGAGAACGATTTTGCGGTCATCACACCCTGGCAGAACCAAATCGACGAAGCAAAAGATTCCGTTCACCTTGAAGTATTAAACTACGTCGAAAAATATGAAAAGCTCGAGAATGCACCCGCAGACGAAGAACACGGAATTAACAGACTGTATCAGTTTGTGGAGGCATATGGATGGAGGCTCCTTTCAATTTGTCTCCATGCCGAATCTTTCCGTCGAGCATTCAGAAATACTAAAGACAGGGTCTGGAATACACTGTTCTCATTTATTGGCGAGAATCAGCTCAGTCTCGAAGTTTTTGCAATTTCCCGTCAACTTCAGTGGCGTGACCCTCTCGAGTATGTTCGTGTGACAATCAAGAAACTTAACGGCTTACCATCCTTGATGGAGGCGCTTTCCGAGCAGCCTAATTGGGGATTTCAGATCACTCACCCGCACGATGTTGCCATTACACTCAATGGCGAGGTGCAAAATACATACTTCAGGGGTAAACCCCGAACCGTCATCTACGAGAATTTCTGGGATGCTGCGAAATGGGGTTCCCCGGATCCGACGCTCCGAGCATCGCTCACCAATGTTGTGGAATGTATCTTCTGCTTGAGTAAAGAGCCCTGCGCCTGTCGCTTGGTGCCCCTGGCAGGAGGCATGGTTGAGCTAAGGGAATACCCACTGAAGGGTATTGGCGTTCGTGCGCTAGCCAATTTCAGAAGGGATGACATTCTCGACGTGTTTGTTGGTGAAATATATCCATCCAAGGAGATTTGTGATGATGACCCGGATCAGGCTTATGCTCTCACTCAATTCCCCAATGAGTGTGATCCTGGTGTCGCAGAGATTCTTCCCCACTTCAAGGGCAATTGGACTCGGTTTATCAATCACTCGTGCCAGCCTTCAACGTGTTTCATGACTCGCCATGTTGGAGACCGAGTGGTAACAACAGTAGAAGCCATTCGCCACATCTCGGCCTTTGAAGAGCTTACTATCAATTATGGTGATAGTTATTGGGTGGGAGAAGACAGAGTGTGTCAATGCAAGCATTGGAATTGTATCTCTGGGGGTTTGAAATAAATCTGGCATCTGAGGTTTTGTTTTAGCTTGGAGTTTGGGTTTTGGTAAACAACCAAGGTTGTTAAATACATAGAATATTATCTGCTTCCATCATGCCAGCTCACGTACCTCAGAACCATCTTGAAAACAAAAATGTAGCTCGTTTTCATAACCTTCCTTGTCTCTCAATTTCCCCGCTATAACATCTTTTGTATCCACAGCCCAGTATTCAAATGCGATTCTTGAGAAATCAGATGGATCAGCACTCCGAGACTGCGAAGTAGGGGCTGCATGTTTGTGTCCGTTTCACACATTGTTGATATAGAAGAAGTGGGTCCTTGTTTACCAGCTTCAATAGAATGGGAGTTTGGCAGAAAAAGAATTTCAGGCAGTCCCTATTTAACCATAGGCATTATTATGGTGGCTTGTAGCTATATTTTCACAAAAAGGTGCCTTGGCAATCAAATGAGCAGAAAAACAACACGCTTATATAGTCGTCTTAAGCATGTTTGAGGAATGGAAACGATCGACAGTGGAAATAATCGGACGTGGTCTTGTCAGCTATCTTGATCATGGCATTTAATAGGTTCAAATTTAACGCCCGACTCTTTGAATGCAGGATCACGATATTTTATTGGAGTTGAATAGTTGAATACTTCCCAAGTTGGACGTCACCTCGGCTGGACCCGACCCCCCGCAGTTCGCTCATGCGGGGAAAGCTTCACTTCCCCATCTTCATCCCATTTTCAAAGCTCCCTCCAATTCACTGTTTTGGTCCGATTCTCACTTTATTTTGATCTGACCTAGCACTACTTTTCATTGTACAGGTTGCCAAATCTACATCGTCATACATTTACTGAGCGCATCATCCCTGCGAACTATGCAGCTGCGGTGATCACAAGCTAGAATCGGGATATGAACATGGGATACACCACGGTTCTCGTGGGCTTAGGCTCCAGGGCTCGCGTCAGCTGTCGGACAGCTTGCTTTGGGGGAAAGAGAACCCTTTACCCTGTGTCTTTAATCAAGAGGGGACTACTGACCGAGAGCTATGCTCGAGGCCCATCCGGTGTAAGTCACCACAGCTCTGGATTTATCCTAAGCCGCAACTAATTGTCATCTCTAACTAATTGCTCTTGATATAGCCTCCCTTGATCGAGTCTACAGTTGGAGAACACTTCGCCACGGTTGTGGCAGAATGCGGGGATAGAACAGCGTGAGCATTGCTCTACAAGCTTGAGGAATCCATTGAGATTCGAGATTAATAACTATTTCTCCCAGTGTCATTTCAAAGCATCAGAATGACCGAGCTACCTATGCTTCTCTAGACACCAAGAGCAATGCGCTTGCTCGAGGGCTAGAGTCAGTGGGCGTGCGCAAGGGAGAGCGAGTTGGAGTCATGCTTGGCAACTCGATGGAATATGCGGTGGTATGGCTATTCAGGATAGTGTTTGGAAGGCAAATACTCATCTCCGTGGACAGGCAACATACGCATTATTTAAACTCGGTGCCATTTTGGTAGGTTAACCTGCCATCACACGCGAATAGCAAGTCTGATAACTCGCCAGGTCCCCCTCAATCCGTCATTCAATGCCACACAAGTAATCGCCGCACTGGGTCATCTCGAATCGAGCCACCTTATTATAAGCACAGAGTCAAATCTTCCGCGAAAAGAACCTCGAAGCAACATTCCCTTGCTCCAGGAACTCATTACGGATCTTTCCAACTCGAAGATAGATTCTGCTTTGGTCCCCTCGTTGAAGCAGGTCATTCTTGTCGATAATTCCGAAGGCCGCGTGGATATATCTTCTTACAAAAGCATAACGCCGTACACATCCATCATGTCCCAGATCGCAGCAGATGGTCGCCCGCTTCCTCCTCAAGGTCTTTCACCATATGATATTGTGAATATCCAGTTTACATCAGGAACAACAGCGATGCCAAAGGCCGCTTGCCTCAGCCACCACTCTATTCTGAACAACGGCTCTCAGATTGGTGACCGCATGCTTCTCACCCCAAATGACATTGTGTGCTGCCCACCACCACTGTTCCATTGCTTCGGATGTATATTGGGATACATGGCTACAGCAACACACGGCTCAGCCATCGTTTTCCCAAGTGAATCCTTCAATGCGCGTGCTGCATTGAACGCAGTCCAAGAAGAAAAATGTACAGCTTTGTACGGGGTACCAACGATGTTCCTCGAAGAGCTTAGTCTGATTGAGAAAGGAGAGGTCTCTCAAGAGGGATTCCAGCATCTTCGGACCGGTATCGCTGCTGGAAGTAGCATCCCTGCTGAATTAATGAAGAAACTACACAGAGTGCTGAACCTCACCGAGTTGACAATTTGCTATGGAATGACCGAGACCAGCCCCGTATCGGCCATGACGACCACAGATGATCCTATTGACAAGCGAATCACCTCTGTGGGAAAACTCATGCCGCATGTTGAGGCCAAGATCGTGAATCCTGAAGATCACCGAAGTACCCAGCCTATTGAGACTCGCGGCGAATTGGTTGTTAGCGGTTACTTGCTCATGAAGGAGTATTGGGGCGATCCAGAGAAAACAGTAGAGGTCATGGTTCCGGACGAGGCTGGGAAAGTATGGATGCATGTATGTTCTACATCCCCTTCTTTTAGTCAAGCTGCTTCTCCTGACTCATACTTTTAGACCGGCGACGAAGCTTCCATGTCGGCAGACGGATATATCACCATCACTGGCCGGATAAAAGATCTTATCATACGTGGTGGCGAGAACATACACCCTCTAGAGATTGAAAACTGTTTGCTTGCCAACTCCGATGTGGCCGATGTATCGGTTGTTGGTGTTCCCGATGCGCGATATGGGGAGGCTGTGGCTGCCTTTGTGATTGCTCGTGATCATAGCATCAACAAAATTGGGGTTGAAGATATACAGCAATGGGTGCGTGATAAGCTCAGTAATCATCTCGGTGAGTCGACTCCCAGATAAATGTTTATCATTGCCAGCCTCTCAAAACTAACTTGAAAATGCGATATAATTTAGTTCCGAAGCATGTCTTCTTCTTGGGTCCTTTGGAACCTTTCCCTAAGACGGCAAGTGGTAAGATCCAGAAATTCAAGCTCAGGCAGAAGGCTCTCGAGCTTTTGGCATACAAGGCGGCAAATGCATAGATATGTTGAATATATGAAGCTATTCTTGGTGTATTAGTACTGGGCGTAGATATGACCTCCAGAGTGATGTAAGGCGATGGATTTATCACGCCAGTACTTGGTACCTATTGTAGATCCGTACTACCGTATATATCAAACCAATCAATATATATACAAGCAGGGCACCCCTTATGGCCTATAGATAGTATATATTTTAGTGTATCTCAGACAACTATACAGGGACTAGGCGCGAGGGCAATTTCGTAGATAATTTCCGGAATGGGAACGTGTTACTCTCGGAGACAGTTTGTCATGCAAGGGTCTGTAGTTTTTGTTTAAAAAAACAACAATTTGCAAGGGCCAGATAATTCCTAGGCTGTATTTGTCCTTTAAGACCTACAATAATCGGGAGAGGGCTCCCGAGGCCTAGCCATGGCCACAACTTCAAAGGCATGGCAGAAAGATCCTGACAGACATGAACAGGTCCAACATGATTGTGCCATGGCCCCGCTTCAATTTATAAAAGCAACTTTCAGAGATGCATGGCCACAGCAAACAGACTGCGTTTTGCCATCCCAGGCTAGAAGAGAGGCTGTCGACAGAGCAGGGATATGGAAGGTGGCGTTGTCCTTCTACTTAAAGGCCCTTTGAGAAGGAGAAACGGGTTGTTCGCCAATTCAGGGATGCCAAAACCCTGCGCCGTGCGGGTATATTCTGAAAGTGGTCATGACTGGCATCCAAAGCGAAGGAGCATGACTTGGCGTTTGGCCTAGGAGCAAGGTCACCAGTTCCTGTGGAGCTAGAAATCCTGAATGCCCGTTTCACCCTGAAGTCTCGAGCGGGCATCTTCCCCGCGAGTATTATCAACAACCCACTCAGGCTCCTCGTCCTCGAAATACTCATTCTGCGTATCAGACCAGTCATCGAGCTCATCATTCTCATCGACAGTCGTATAATCAAAATCAGAGTCGTTCCCCTGCACAAATCGCAAGCCCATCTCCCACTGCCAGCGCCGCTCGCCTTCTTCCTTGTTGGGGGGGATTTCATCACGATCCTCAGCAAGGATCTCCCCATCCGGGCCACGGGTGTAGCTCATCTCGGCATTGGGATTTGGGTGTGCGAGCGCATCGATTCTGGCTTCAGATCGCAAGAGGTCCGCCTGTAGGACACCTGAGAACCCCTTCGCTCGCCCTGCGTCCTCTCTTTCCTGCGGTGTCTGGAATCGGCGGATCAAGCGATCGTATAGTAACGGGTCTGTAGAGAAGTCGGGCAAGATTAGTACTATGTTTTTGTTTATTTTGTATGCTTGGCCAGCTAGAGCCCGCGATAGGTCAGGCCATAAGTGTCAGTTGGCAATGGGAAGAGCAGGCGGACCGGCTAGCTCGAGCTCCGCCGAGAAGTATTCTGGGTGCAGGTCCAGATACCGCTTGCGGCGGTTTTTGACTGTGATCGCATGGTTATGTGTACTGGATTCGCCTCTATCTGTAAACCCCGAATCCATAGGGAAAAGTGGCATCTTGGTGTGTTTCAGAAAGTGGAGGGGAGTTGAAGTTGGGAACGCGGAACTCGGCGGCAAAAGAGCTTCTCTCCGTAACTTTTTTTTTAATCTCGATACTGTTTTTTGTCTGGTCTGAACGTGTAAGTCAATGATCTGTTTTGAATTGTGTGAAGCTTCTTGAGCTTTGAATGTCTCTTGTAGTGAGAACAGGCCACAGTTGCAGGTGCTAACAAGCTCGCAGATGCGCTATCTTGACTGATTCCGCGCTTGCCACCAATATCCAAAGCTGCATCAGCTGGAAACCATGCCTTCTGTCGAGGAGTTCATACGGCAGGTCGATGGCCGGCGGTTTGGCTCCGGCGTGGCCTTGCTGGTTATTCTCGCCTTTTACTCGCCCCTTTCCAAGCTGATCCTATCTCCAACATATGGATCCTTGCCTGCTGAAATCTTCCATGCCTATGGAGTCGCCATCTTTGGCGGAGCCGGATGGTTCTTGAAAGACATTATCCCAAAGCGCCTGGGCCGTGCTGGTGGCTATTTGCTCCCCGTGCTGGCATTCTGGGTTCCAACTCTCCAGTATTTCATGAAGCAGAAAAGCTCCTCGCTGGGTAACCCACTCGGTCCAGTCATCACGGAGCTGTGTGGTTACTATCCTCTGGTACTCCTCACAGTGGCCTATGCCGGAAAGCTAATCCAGACTGCTCTGAGACTTGAGTCGCAGGGCGACCTGGTAGCTGAGCATGTTCCCCTGCTGGGCACCTACATTTTCTATTCAATTGGCGATCACTTTGCAAACATGGTCTTGCACTGGATCGTTGGTACCACCTTCTTGTTCACCAGAGTTGGAATGCAAATGATCCTCGCGGTCTGTTACTCTGCAATCCTTCCGTCCAAATTGCTGGTTCTAGCCATTCCTTCCGTGATCTTTTCATTCACCTCAAATGTTCACTTTGCTGGAATTAGTGGCGTGAACTCTGCTATTGAGCACGAAGGATACTCCCTTGTGGCACGTCATGAATCCACCACTGGCTACATCTCTGTGTTGGATAATCACAATGATGGATTCCGAGTTATGCGCTGCGATCACAGTCTGCTCGGTGGGCAGTGGACCAAGTTACCTTCAGGCTACCGGCCCGAGGTGGAAGATCCCATCTACGCTATCTTTGCCATGCTCGAGGCCGTCCGTTTGGTTGAGCCGGACCATGGCGTTTCCCGCGTTGATGCCGATAGCAAGGCGCTGGTCATGTAAGAATCTCCTAGCAAATATTAGAAGCTATTAACTGACAGACAAAAAGTGGACTTGGAATTGGCACAACGCCTGCTGCACTCATCAAGCACGGTATTGAGACAACTATCGTCGAAATCGACCCTACCGTGCACAAGTACGCGATTCAATATTTCAATCTCCCACCGAACCACATCCCTGTCATCCAGGATGCCGTCAGATACGTCAAGAAAGCTCAATCTTCCTCTAAGCCAATTCAGTACGACTACATCGTCCACGATGTATTCACCGGCGGTGCCGAGCCAGCCGAGCTATTCACTTACGAATTCCTCAAAGGCCTTGAAGCGCTTCTCAAGGACGACGGTGTCATTGCCATTGTAAGTCCAACCAAGCCATGCATCCCACCATACAAGCATACTAACGAATCAAAAACCAGAACTACGCCGGAGACCTAACCCTGTACCCAACTGGCCTGGTAGTCCGCACCATCCAAGCCGTTTTCCCATCATGCCGTATCTTCCGCGAACAAGCACCCGTCGGATCCGACGATAACACCGACTTCACCAACATGGTCCTTTTCTGCAAGAAGAGCGCCGGGACCCCGCTTCGCTTCCGTGACCCTGTCCAGGCGGACTTCTTGCGCAGCAAGTCTCGTGAAAGTTATCTCGTTCCTAAACATGAGCTTGACCCTGCTATCTTTGCCTCTTACCCCAAGAATGGTAGGGCCATCTTGTGGGAGAAGGAGGTGGGTAGATTGCATAAGTATCAGGACCGTAGTGCTTTGGCACACTGGGCGATTATGAGGAAGGTTTTGCCTGATGCCGTTTGGGAGAATTGGTGAGCTATTCGTTCGCGGCTTTTGAATAAAATTTGAAGGCGGGAACTGTGTTTGTTCCTATATTGTATATCTATATATTAAGGAATTGACTGTCTTAGACCACTTCTACCCCATATAGCAAGTGGAATAACTAGATATCCCGGTACAATGAAGCACAAATTGGGGACCATCGTTCACAGTGGCGATGCCAGTAAGTACCGAGGTCACTCTACGTACCACATTTCCTCTACCGGGTGAGGTTTCCTATCTCAGCAGCCACTTTTATGAAAGTGCTCAAAGTCAGGATCATAAATTCCAACCCTTTATTTCTTTAACGTGTTAACTCTCTAAAAACCTGAATATAGTACCCTGAAAAACAAAGAACCACGGAACGGGAGCCCAGGTTCGTATTCCCCAGATCTCTTGATATAGAGAGCACATGACGACACCCGAGCAGATGACATTCACAGTTCTGCTAACTTTCGCCCAAACAATCATCGAGCCTGTCTGGCACGCCACAACAATAGGCAAAAAAAGCCACTAATAGGTCATTGTCAATATAAGCTGGTTTTCCTCCATATGGACTCCTCATCATGTCGTCACTGGATATCTGTACTGTCCAATCTAATACGAGGTTCATCGAGGCAAAACATGGCTACGAGATATATAAGCCTGTTACTGGGCTCGTGTTCACAGGAACAACCCGGAATTATCTATATTTCGAATCACTTACTCATTATTCTATCCCAACAGATTATTTTCCATGTCGAACTTCATGCACAAAGTCAAGGACGCCATGACTGATCATGACAAGGATACAGCCCGTGACAAGGATACAGCCCGCGGCTTCAGGGGTCAAGATAACCAGGGATCCTCCAATGCCCCCGGCCAAGGCTCCGATATGAACCAGAACAGATCGTCTGGCGTGGGTTCTAACAACCCTTACGGCTCTGGGTCACGCTCCGGCGACCCTAACTACAACGGTTAGTCCCCCAAAGACTTCACCTAAGCTTTTTCGATAAGCTGATCGGATATGTAGACACCCAGAATCCAACTGATTCATCCCGTACTGGGATGGGCGATCAGGGCGGCCGTTCTGGCGACTATGGATCGACAGAAACGGGCGGAGGTGGTTCCAACGTCAATGCTGGTCCGCATGATTCAAAGCTGGCTAACAAGATGGATCCTCGCGTCGATAGTGATATGGGTAAGCCAAGCCGAGCTCTAAAACCCAAAAAGAAGTCAAGCTAAAGAGTATAGACAACCGCGCTGCACGCGGAACTGGAAATACAAACCCCCAACAGTCCGGCAACGCCCCTAGCAACCCATCCAGAGGCGTCGACAACCATGAAACTAGCGAAGATGACTATAACAAAGCAACGCAGGAAAAGACAGCCAAATCCCAACCCGGCAGCTACGGCAGCAATCCAATGGCCAACGAGGAAAGCCATACCACCTCGACGCAGGAGCATAAATCCCACGCCGCTACTAGCCACACCATGCCCTGCCAGACAAATTTGCAAAATGAGGAGGGCTTTGAAAACCGCGGCGAGCCAAATTTCGGCGGTGATGCGGCTGGTGGTAGTAGCTACGCCTCAGGCGGGCAACAGCAGCCATCTCGTGGTCAAAATGATGACCCCAACCCCGTAAACAAGCTTGATCCTAGAGTTACCCGCTCGAGTGGGCAAGCTAATGTTGGCAATCAGCGGGGTGGGTACTAGGTTTGTTTTAGGTTACTGTGATTAGTTATGTTCTGTTGAATATGTAAAACCCCCAAGGGCAGAATGTGATGTGGCAGAAATAAGTGCTGTAAGAGGCGCAAGAAAATATGTACTTCGTCTTGAGTCTTTTCCAAAAAAAAATGAAGTCTGAGTTTGATCTTCTTACAAACGTAAGCTATGTAGTTATAAAAAGAAACTTCCCAGGACAGCCTACTACCTGTGAGGCATCTCTTGATTCTGTACATATAACATACTAAGGATTTTGTGTGATTCACTATGAGCAGGCCGATCACGGCAATACAATCATGAGCTACTGCTCCGAAAGCGGTCATTTCCCGGCGTTAACTTCACTGGTCTTTAGACTCTATGTATAATTTCTGTTAACGTTACTGCTGGTATAAGGATGAATGGCACTGAATCTTTCATTATCTTGCGATATCAAAAGAATAAGCGTAGGAAGGGAAAAGCTAAGAAGTGGTAGAGGAAAACGAAACAGCTGAAATCAGAATCACAAAGTCTTCATATTGGTATCATTATCTAACACCTGCCGAAAAGCCATAGAACCTCCACACCCGGGGAAATCACAACGACCGGCATCCCCCACAGCCAAAGAACATCTAAGACCTATATTCTCCACTATCGAACCACCGCGCCTAGTGCACAGGATGAGACTAGGCCTCCAGATTATGTACGCGCAAAGAACTAAAATAACAGCAAGAAACGAAATCATTAGGCAGAAGGACTCCCACGGGGACTGGCGCCGCCTTTCTTGACCAGGCCAGCAAAGAAGTTAGCCAGGGCTTGATTGTGAGCTTTCTCATCGCCAGTGTTTGGCACAGGGCTTTCCTTCTTTTGGGTCCGACTGGCTTCGCGATCCTGGGTAAGTAAAGTAATTTAGCTTAACGTCTAGGCGGGCGAGGGTGTCGTATTAGTGGATGTCTTACCCGAAGTTTCTTAAGCATGTCATCGGCGTCAACTTGGATTCCTCCCATATTAAACTGCACAGGACCGATGTGCTCGTTGACTTTGCCTTCGTCGTCCATTGGGGACATTTCCAGTTGGGGGGTTGCTTGGTTTGCACGGTCCTTTTCGTCTTCGGCTTTGAGCTTTTCTAGGACTTCCACTTGGCTTGAGAGGAAAGCTTGGATGTCAGAGGTTTCGATTTCGATCTTGGTTCCGTTGCTGTTGCTGTTGGGGTGGGCGATGGTTGTGTCTCGTTTGGGGTCATGGATTGTTTGTTCGAAGACTCTTACGGCGCTTGTACCGTCTTCTCCGGGGCCGTTATCGCTCTCTGGGGGTTGGTCGATTGGCTCAGGGGGATCTTGGATCTCGATTGACCACGCTGTTGACACTCCTTCCATGTCGAATCCTTCCCGAATGATTCGGATCTTACCCCACGAGTCCCAGTTAGCTGGTACCAGGATCTTGTCGCGGTCGATCACATTATGTTTTAATGATTGTCTCTTCAGAAGAGAGTGTATGCCCAGTGAAGAGTGAATCAGACTCTGAAGAGAGTTGGCAAGGAATGGAGTGGTGTAGATTAGCGATGCGCCGTCTGTATGGCGTTAGAAAATAGCTCAGTTGATTGGCCAGAAGCGATGTATAAAAGTGCTCTTACGCTTTAGGAGAATGGTTCGGAGGAACTGAAGAATGAAGTCGAACTGCTCTTCATGCCATCCGTGTTCCTTCTCCAATTTCTCGATCTTGTCCGCCTAGATATATCAAAAGTCCATATTAGCAAGCAACCCCCGGTAGCCGGATTCAAAGCTGGAGTGACATACCCCTTGGCAAACAACACACATTGGGACACCAAGGCCCTCATCCCATTCACCAGGTCCTAGAGGTATCGTGACCTGACCACCCGAAGTCGACAAGCCGCCTGCAGCCGCAGAATTGGCATCCAGTCCCCTTTTGCGATCGCGCCACTCCGTCATTGTCTCTTCCATAACGATTTTGGTTTCATCGTCGAGTGAAACAAGCACTGTACGTAAAAGACGGACCCATTCTCTAAGTCTTCGGATCCATGTCCATGGGTCAGACCAGTCCATAAGGATCACAACCAGCGTTTCCGGCACGGACTGTGGGGTCAGGAGTGGTTTGAGGAGGGGTGCGAATGATAGCGAGGGTTCGGACAGGAGGTAAGCTGAAACGCGTGCCAGGGTATCTGCAGTGGAAATTGTTAACATGGAATCTGCTATACAGAGACTGCATTGCTCATGTACCTTCTTGATCGGCATCGAGGACATCTCGATATGTGTAACCAAGCGCAAACTGATTGGCAATCGGTGGTGTTTTCCCTGTAGCTTTGCGCTTCTCGTTCACTAAGCCAGAGCCATCGGAGGCGTCTGCAGAGAAAGACTCTAGGAATTCCCGTTGGCTTTCCGGTGTGCCGCCTATCGTTGAGCTGTTAGTGGCATGTCCAACAATCGAAATACGGGACCAGTAATGAGCGCGAGTAGGCATGGAATGCCCCAAGGAGACGCTAACGTACCTAGCACTAGCAAATTCTTCTCAGGCAAGCGCTTTCCATTGGCAACACTGTCTAATAGAGAGGACCAAATGTTCTTCTTGGAGCCATCTTTGCTGGTCGGTCGACTGTTTGTACCGGCCGCCTTCGACCCGTGCGGACTGGAGGACATCGTTTGGTCTCGTCCCACCATGCCTCAGAGGGCATTCACCCAGGTTCCTGTCTATGTCGAAGCACAGGGAGATATGCGCGTGGAAAGGTTGAGTCGAGGTGGAGGTGCAAGATGGTGTCAGGGGAATCCGAGGGGTGTAGGGGGAACGAATTGTAGGCGGTCCAGCGAGTAGCAAGCCCGCTCGCAAAAGACTCTTGAAGATAGCGCACACAAGAGGAGTCTGTGGTTGTGCACGTCGTCTTCGATCGAGCAGGGGGTTAGTTTGCAGCGTAAACAATTATTACGGTTCCGCGGCTCCACATTTCCTCTCTCCAACTTCTGCGCTCCAACTTTCCCTCTCCCACCTCACCATGAATTCCATTCGCCAGGTTCAGGCGCTCAATAAGCGCGAGCTTGAAAATGCCATGTAAGTCTTGCTTAGCTTGTTGAAGCTGTTTTCCTGGCTAACCCTGCCTGGACGTGCAGACCCCCAGAGGCATCATGGCACGCGGATTACCGAGACACAGCTTATATCTACATCGGCGGGCTTCCATTCGATCTATCTGAAGGAGATGTCGTCGCTATCTTCTCGCAGTACGGAGAACCAGTACATATCAAACTAGCTCGCGACAAGGAAACCGGCAAGAGCAGAGGATTCGCCTGGCTCAAGTACGAAGACCAGCGCAGCACAGATCTAGCCGTGGATAACCTCGGCGGTGCGAGTGTGCTGGGACGCTTGCTTCGTGTTGATCATGCCCGTTACAAGCGACGGGACGACGACGAAGAGGAGGAGAACAATGTCGCTAAGTTGATGGGAGATTCAACTGCCACCGAGAATAAGGGTAGGGATGATGACCGCAGCCGGAGGAGGATCACTGAGAAAGAAGAAAGACGACCAGTCTTGAAGGAAGAGAAGGAGCTAGACGAGTTGATCCGAAACCATGATGAGGAAGATCCGATGAAGGAGTTCCTTATTGAGGAGAAGAAAGAAGAGATTGCGCGCGCAATCGACGCATGGAACAGCAGCCAAAAGTCTGCTAGACGACGCCACGGCAGTAGGGAACGCTCCAGCCGGCATCATCGCCGTCATCGTTCTCGTTCTCCGCATGAACGACGGCATCGGGATGAGCGCTCCCCCGAAAAGGAGAGGCGATCTCGCTACAGATCATCAGAAAGAGAGGAACGACCACGGGGGGATCGGTCATCGAGAAAGTCGCGCTCGCCAGAGTCCCGAAGACATCGAACTGATCGGGATAGACATGAGCGTCGTCCTTGAAACATGAGATATCATTACTATTCTTTGCTATTCACTCTCGAGTTTGTGGTATCATGTACGTCGCTGCATTCATGTTCGTTCCTCTGGTATCCTACTGCAGCTTCGGTCACTCTCTCCCAAAGCGCAGTCCGGAACTCAGCTTGGTGCTGATGACGCTTTGTCCGGCTGCAGACAAGGTGTCGCAATGCTTGGGTTTGGGGTGAATCACATCGGGGGTTTGAGATCAACTGAGATGTTTTCCATATCTCAAGCGCCACCAAGATATCTCTTCCAACCATCCCGCACACAATATCTCTTGCCTTCCTCGCCCTCTCGAATTACAAACTTCTCCCAGCGACCGTCTCTTCCAGACCCAATAACCAAGACGGTCTGATCATCGCACCAGCCTATCAGGCCTTTCTGAGGTCGTCCTATTGAAGACCCAATTGGTGGCACATATGGCGATCCTGGGGTGGCTTCTCCACCCATCTCGAAATGCGCATTGGCAAATGAGTACTCATCCGAGAAGACTCGAGGCAGAAGGGGAATCCTGCCGAGGAACCCCCACTTGTGGCTAGTAGCTGGTTCCTCAGACGCTGGTGCCGGCGACTGGCTGCGCCTTGTGACATGTTGCTGGTGGGAGAGATCAAAGATGTGGAGTGTCGATTTGTCGGATGTCACTGCCAGCAAGTTATTGGATGGCGAGAAACAAACGGAGAATATCACTGCATGGTCAACACCCCGTCGCAGTTCTCCCATTTTTGTACAGTTTCCGGTAGCGAAAATCCGAATCAAGGTTCCCTATGCATATGTCAATGACCACCCGTAGATAATCGCAGCCTACAAGACCTTACCGCTTCACTCGCTGTTGCCAGCAATTTTCCATCTGGGCTCAAGGCCATCGCTCGTAGCGGCGTACTATGTGCCGGGATAATGCTGATGTTGCCAGTCTCTAGTTCTATCATCTGAACCTGTCCCGGAGACCGGCCAGGAAAGGCGAGCACCTTTTGATCAAGACAGGCCAACCCAAGAGGGTTGTCTGAGGTTTCGAAAACTGATTGCTTTTGTGGGGGATTCGAGAATGCAAAAACATGGACGCTATTTAGTAGCACGACGACGATCTTCGATTTTGATAGACGCACGCCGAGGACCGAGGTGCGGAATTCAAGCGTTATGGCCGCTTTCTGCTTTGCATCGTCCCATATAATCAACTGCAGGGCAATTCCGTGAGTTCTCTATGCTTCGTCCAGATTGCTAGAGAAGGCGCACCTTATTCTGCGGGAACTTGGGGTTCTTCCCACCCCCGACGATTGCTAGGTAGTTTGACTGGCCCAGCATTTCTGCTACACCGATTCCTGCATTGAAATCTGAGGTGCAAATGGGTGAGTGGGGATGTGATTCGAACATACGCTGAACCAAAGGGCAAGTACTCACCTCGTGATACTTTAAGCTCGCACGGGTTGGCATTGAATACTGCGCAATATATCTTTAGCCTCGGTTTCATGATTTTTGTTGGAATCACAGCTCCTGTGTGGAGCTACGAGCTGGCTTAAACATCTCTTACCGCAAAACCCAGTGTCCAAGCCCACGGAGAAACAGCTACTGTCATGGTTGAATGTGGCGGACAGTGAGTATGGCCCGATGGACTCATCGATAACCTGGCGTGTATTCATAGCTGAGGTGCCCACCAAGCATAGCTGGAGCAAGAGACTAAACAGCTCAAGCAGGCCCTTCAACCCTTCAGTTAACAATAAGAGGTTGATGTACAAGTACAGTATAGGGTTCCCCGGAGACGATAAGATGCGGGCGAGCTACCTCAGGCACTAACTTACCTAATCATACGGTGGCCAGCAGCGACCCACCACTCCTTCAACCCCTGAGTGCTGCGTATCTTCAGTTCAGCAGTCAAGCTGTTGATAAGTAGATGAAAATAGCTCAGACATTCAATGTACATATTCCAATAGTTCTCTCTTCTTTTTTCTAGCTATTTCACGTATCAATTGTGACAGATCAAGAGCTCTGTTGTAGAAGTAAAGTAGACTGGAGAAGAAGCACGTCCCGTGATTGGCCGCCTGTTAGGGAAAGGGGGAAACACGAACTGTCTTTCCTCCCCCCCTACTCTCTCCAGACTCAGGAGAGCAAGTTTCACCCATCTTCATATTACTTGCTTTAGCCGTCATCTTCTCTCTGTATCTTTGTTTCATTCCTCTCTAGTCCACTATGTCGTCGGCCCTCAACGCGGTATGTGCATTCCCCTTTTCTTGGTCGCTTCCCGTACCTCCAAAAAGTTTCCCGAGCTAATTGCATGCCCGCGCTTGGTCCGGGTAGATTAAGATCCGTCGCAAGAAGAATGTCAAGAAGGGAATCCAGTTCTGCCTGATGGTGTGCGGTGCCAGTGGAACAGGTAACGTTCTCGACATTTGGTCAAGTCAGAATGGTGATTGACCCATCTCCTTTTCGCAGGACGCACAACTTTCGTCAACACTCTCTGCGGAAAGCAGGTTCTGGAGGGCAAGGATGCCGACGATGCTGCCAACGCTCACCTCGAGGAGGGTGTCCGTATTAAGCCCGTTACCGTCGGTGAGTTGAGCCACTCCCCGCATAGCGCCAATGGTGGGCTGCGAATACTGACTGGAGATGACAGAGCTTGAACTCGATGAGGAGGGAACCCGTATCTCCTTGACCATCGTCGATACCCCTGGGTTCGGTGACCAGATCGACAACGAGGCCAGGCACGTACACCGCGGAAACCACTGGTCAGTTCTGTGGCTAACTTTTGGACAGCTTCGGCGAGATTGTCGGCTACCTCGAGCGCCAATACGATGATATTCTTGCAGAGGAGTCCCGGATTAAGCGTAACCCTCGCTTCAGGGATAACCGAGTCCACGTTCTGCTCTACTTCATCACACCCACCGGTCATGGTCTCCGTGAACTTGATATCGAATTGATGAAGCGCCTCTCTCCCCGTGTCAACGTCATTCCCGTCATCGGAAAGGCCGACTCCCTCACTCCCGCAGAATTGGCCGAATCTAAGAAGCTGATTATGGAGGACATCGAACACTACCGCATCCCCGTCTACAACTTCCCCTATGACATCGAGGAGGATGACGAGGACACCGTGGAGGAGAATGCCGAGCTCCGTGGACTGATGCCTTTTGCCATTGTTGGCTCGGAGGATTTCGTGGAGATTGATAACAAGAAAGTGCGCGCGCGACAGTACCCATGGGGTGTTGTCGAGGTTGAGAACCCTCGTCACTCTGATTTCTTGGCTATCCGCAGCGCTCTGCTGCACAGCCATCTGGCTGATCTGAAGGAGATCACCCACGACTTCCTCTATGAGAACTACCGTACCGAGAAACTCAGCAAGAGCGTCGACGGTGCTACTCCGTATGTTCCTGGTCCCGGGGTTTCATATCTCGACATTGCTAACACATTCGTAAACAGTCCCCAAGACTCTACCATGAACCCCGAGGACCTTGCATCTCAGTCAGTCCGCCTCAAGGAGGAGCAGCTCCGCCGTGAGGAGGAGAAGCTGCGTGAGATTGAGATCAAGGTACAGCGCGAGATCGCCGAGAAGCGGCAGGAGCTGCTGGCTCGCGAGAGCCAGCTCAGAGAGATCGAGGCCCGCATGCAGCGCGAACAGCAGAGCCAGGGCAACATCAGCGAGGCAGCTGGAGAGGCCTAGATATACCCTGTCGAAGATGCGGCTCATTCAGCGGGGCCCCGGTTCGCAACGTGATACCGATGGTGCCAAACTGGACTTCATGGCACCAAGTTGGATTTTGTTTATGGGGATAATATTGACAGTTTATTCACGTTAATAGTTTTTTTTCTTTTTCTCTTCTTCTATCTCTGTGGATGGACCGACTCATCATAGACTGCGGCGCCTCGGTTACGAACGGTGGACGCAACGCAAGACACCCTCAAACATGCGTTATGCCGAGCTGGATTTCCTCCTCGGTATGACCTGCTCGCGTTCCATCCGGGGACTGCTCTCCTCGGCACCGTTGTCTTCCGCTGTGTTTGGGGCAGAGATTCTCATCCTGTCTTTTCTTCTATCACATCACCAGCTGCGGCCGGGGGTCCTGTGACTGCATCTTTTCTCTTTTCTCCTTCCCCTCCTTCATCTGTTCTTATCGAAAGTCCGCAGCGCAGCAATATTCCCTCTTCTCTGTTGTTTTTTTGTGTTCGTGGCTCACGTCCTGTCCATTATCTATCCTTTTTACCCTCGCCTGTCTTCCCAGTCCTGATAGTAATAGAGGAAGAAAAAGTATTTGAGTACTTGGCTTGTGCTGTGATCCTTACTCTATTGTCCTTTTTGTAGAAAAAGTAGCGTGGCAAAGAAAATATATATCCAGAATGTGCCCGAGTGCTCAGACATGATCATTACTTATTCCTTCAGCAGATACATATTTTGTGGAGTCTCCCACTCAATCTCCGTACGCGCAATGAAATAAATATGTTTATAGACAACAGCCAATAGTGTATTCCCACATACATTAACACAGCCTAGCCGCAAGCCTACAACAAAACTCTCTCCGCCCGAAACGCAACACTTCCATCCACATCAATGACATTGCTAAGTATAACAGACAAGATACCTCAAACTTAACCGATACAAACAAGTAAGAAAGAGGTCTCTGGAAACACGGCCATGTGGAGTAAAAGAGACAAGCATCAGGTAAATAGAACGAGCTTAGAAAGACCAAGATTTTAAAGGGTGGAAAAGGGATGAAGATATCTAGAGGGAAAAATGGGAGAAAAATGCAATCAGCAAGAAGTGAAAAAAGGGTAGAAGGGCGGTCGAAAGCAGGAAAGCAGACACGCAAGAAGTGGTATTTGCGCTCCATTGTACATTGCGTAGAAATGAGAAGACAGGTCAATCCTGTTCATTTGTGGAGTGGGAGGGATTGGGGATTGAGGTGGTGGTTTGGTTGTCTATGGTAGGCGGTTTTTGTTCCTCCGCTGAGTGACGAGTTATTCATGGTTCCCATGCAGCTTGGGCGATTAAACGCTTTGCTGTTGGGGTTTATTGGTCCAAAAGTCGAGACTGGCAATCACGTCATAACCACCTTCGTCTTCGTAGGCATAGATGATCTAGAGGCGTCAGCGCTTGATTATTAGGATAGGGGGTTGTAGATGTGACATACCTCTCGAGTGGAAGAGTGTAGCATGCGAATGTTTTTCCCGGTCATCAGATGCGTCAGTTCACTTGTCTCCACGTGTCGGATCTCAACGAAGTTCGGTTCAAATGCCAGGATGTAGGGGTACGAGAGGGCGAATGCGTTCGGGTTGCCCTCCCAGGCGATCTTCCAGTCTGGACGGGCTCGCCAGCCATTGCGGTTGACAAAGAATGAGAAGTCACTGTAATTGAGGAGGAACTCCCCATTCATACGCTCGATATGGATAGGCTTGACGTTCTCCTTTCGTGCCACGAAATCAAGGGAGGTGTCTGCTTGGTCGAGGAGAGACTGGGTTTCTGTCGTTTCCAGACTGACAACTTCAAAGCCACGTGCACAGCCAACGCACAAAGTAGAACGAAGGAAGTGAATTGAAGAAGATTCGGCAGGGATGTAGTATTCCTAAAGTGAAAGGTTGGTGAGTTATGTATTGTCAAACCGGAAAAGAGAAAACGAACCTTGAATGGTTTGAGTGTGTCTTGGCCACTCTGGAACATCTTGCTGACAGCAGACTTCTTCTTTCCCTTGGCGAGATTGTCCATCGGCTCGTACACCTTGATGGTACTTGAAAGCGCCGACGTCTTGACCGAGCAAACCAGATGACGACCAAGACCAATGCCTGCTTTGAAGAAGTTGGCATGACCTTGAATTTTCTTTGGGCGTTTTGCCATTGCGTTTTGGCCCTCTCCGAGGTCAAGAGCATCCATAGGGTAAGAAGAAAGTGTCTTGTTTGCCAGAACCAAAACTAGCTGGTACTCTTCCAGGGTGTCGATTTGCGTGACCTGGGTAGCATCGAGAACTCGCTTTGGTTTGACCGACTTGTCTTTGGGCCAACGCTCAGAGACATAGATACCGCTGTCTGTACCATAAACCAATTTCCGACCACCGTCGATTGGAACGAGACAGTTCACACGGTTCAAGTTGCCGAAGGCACCTTCACACAGAATAGTCTTGTTGTAGAAGTTGCTGTTCCGTTCCCACAGCTTCTGTTGTTGTTGCTCCACCGCTTCAATGAACTTGCGGCGTGTGGCGACATTTGTGGCGTAAAGAGTCTGCTCATAACCACCCTTTCCGAGATGTCTGAATGTAATTGGGAGACCACCATCTTTAGCAGGTGGGGGGTTGATCGGAGCCTTGTTGGACAGGAGACTGGATGAGGGCCTCTTGGCAATTCCCAGTCGAGGGATGACTTCGTCCATCTGAGCGATAACTAGCAACTCCAGAGGAATGGGCTTCTTATAAACACGGAACTCTTCACGCTTGTTAACCACCTTGATTCGAACAAGTAAGACGGCGTGATCAAAGAGATAAGCGGTGACATCAGAACTGTCGGCGGTTGTCTTCTTGAACGCCATCTTCATGAGCATTTGCCGGTTTTCTTCTGTAAGTTTCAAATCGACATAGTCCGCGGGATTGAACTTCAACGCAGCGTTCAACTGTACCAAGTTGAAATGGTTCTCTGCTTTACCACTCTCGGTATTGACACGCGAGAGGAAGTCCTTGATCAACTTGATAGCCTTCGGGATATCTTCCTTGTCGGGGTTGCCGTCTGCAGTGTTCTTCAAGACTCCTTCTAGCAGAAGGGGGTATCTTGCAAGACGGGTGGTGGGCTTTGTCAAGTAACCGTTAAGTTCAAGCTTTCTAGACTCCTTCAGGCGTTCCGTGTCTTCAACGAATTTGGCAAAAGCCGGGTTGGAAGCTTTCTCCTTCTCAAATTCGTACTTTCCGTAGAGTTGGTTGGCACCATACTTGATGAATGGATCAAAGCGAGGCACATGTTGCAAGAAGATATCACCAACTGTCTGGACGACCTGGCTCTCTTTTTGTCGACCGTTCAAAGCTTCGCACAGAGCACTGTTGACCTTGAGAACCTCCAAGCAGTTTCCAAACACGGTCCGAATGAACTTTTCCCGTCGGTGTTCTGGGATGGGTGAGTGCGTTGTGGTGCCCGCAGCGCGTAATGGTCGCATCCAGAAATCGCGCAAATATTCCAGGTCCTTTACGAAATCACGTTCCGTGTACATAATCTCAAAGATAATCTCCTGTCGTTTCTTCTCATGGTCGTCCACGGAATCCGAGACCTCCTTAGGCACCGTGCTGATCCACAACTTTTGATTGTCGTTGTCATCGTCATCGTCGATTGGAATGGTGCCCCCAAGTTTGGTGTCCGTAGCTCCCAAAACCGGCTGAGGTTTCAGATTCAACCTGGCTTGCTGTTCCAGTCGTCGCGGGCAAGCAATTGAATAACAAAGACTGTCTCGGTTGCAGGTTGGAGAATAACATTCAGTCAGGAGGGTGAAAACTCCATTGACCTCGGTTGTAGATTTGTCCTCTCCTAACGTTTCCTTAAATTGATATACCTCACCGGGAGCGTCTCGGAGACGGTGGTCATAGGTGACATCATGGAAGAATTTCTGAGCATCCAGCGCTCGACCCAGCAGAAGGGCGAGGTTGCGATCGTTGGTCCGAATGATGTTCCCAATCAAATCCACCGAGTCAGTACCCGAAAATGCATTCTGATATGACAGACCGTTCTTCTGCCGTTCGCCGAGTGAAATCTTCTCCCTGAAGATATCTGCAACGCGAGAAAGTAAAGCAGGATAGACCACCGGAACCTTGCGCTGTGAATCCCTAGCAACCAGTTTTACCGGACCAGATTTTTGCGTGAATTGACTCTGGACACTCATGGTCCGATCAGACATTGGAGTCGCAGTCGCAGTCGCAGTCGATGCCATTGACATTGTACGAGATCTCGTTGATGCATCGCTCGGCTGACGAGAGCTAGAAAGGCCATCTGGGCTGGTCTGCGGCGGCATTGTGTCCTGTCTCGGCAACGGTTGTTGATCATGGCCCGACGGAGGCCTACGACTGGGAATGGACCGTCCGCTGTTCATAATATGCGCATCTCGATCCGATGACCACGAAGACATAGACATGGCTCGCTCATTGGCATGCTTTTCCGGTACAGGTCGCCCGAGCTGAGTCACCGGGGCTCCAGCATGATACTGCTCGCGGCGAGAAGCGATGGCGGATGTGTGATTGAAGTTGCTCGGCGGGTTTTGGTACGGTGGCCCGCTTAGTTTTGCCATTGATCTTGATCGGGAAGCATCGGAGTTTAGCGCAGGAGGAGGCATCGGGCGATTGAAGTCTCTGGCTTCTGCGTATTGCGCGGTAGGACTTGGTCTCGAATCGAGGCGTTGGGGTCGCGGATAGGCAGCAAAGCGTTGAGCACCCGGGTATGGCCGAGGGGGTTGATGGGAGGACATTGTGGCGGCAGCTCCCGGATTATATGCTTGGTATTGTCCTGATGGCGGAGGTGGAGGGTATCCGTTTGGTGGTGCTGATGGCGGTCCGTATCCATTTGGCACTTGCCGCGTCGGCGGCGGCGGTGGTCTCTGGAATTGGGGTTGTGCAACATGCGACGACATGGTGTGAGCGCGGCCCTGATTGAACTGTGGAGTCTGCGAATTCATCGTCTGGGAGCGCCCCGGAGGGGGTGCGCCTCCAAAGATGTCAGAATACGCAGCATCCCGCTGCGTTGACGAGGCAGGCCCGTGAGGCCGGTAATTCCGGTTACGCTGGCCCCCCAAATCCGCCATATTGTCGAAAAATCAGCGATCAAAAATAAGAAGCAGAAGGAGTAGATCGATGAGATATGGAAAGATATCTATTCCGATATGCAAAGAAGGCGACAGGGGGTATCCGAGATCGTGGAGAGCGTCAGGGCGTCGCAAGAGTTCTGTTCAAGATCGTAGGCAACGGAGGCAACGGAGGAAACGAAAGTAGTAAGACAAGAGTCCCCGGTATGCAATCTCAGTGAACGAAAGAGTAAATGGTGGAGATGTCAATATGTCATGACTCCCCTCAGTTGGGGGGATTGACGATATCAAATCTTGGAAAGCGCCAGGAGCCGTGAGCGCAACAAAATCAGGGCTCCCTTTAATTTCATACCCTCAGCATCCTCTAAGAAGGAAGTAGAGAGTGGAGGGGGAAGTTGGTTGAAAAAGTAATAAACTGGGGGGGAAGCAGGAGAGAGGAGGATGGCGAGGTGACGGCGAGCCCGGTATTGGGGTAATTGTTATACACGAAGGCCCAAACTGGCCGTGTTGATGGGTCAATAGCCGTGTATGGTATTGTCACCAGGCGGGAAGGGCAGTACGGGACTACGGTGGGCGAAGTGCCCATGTGGAACACCCATCAACAGTCTTGGCCTCTTCTCTCTGCTTGTCTTCTGGGAAGCTCCCTTTTGCACTATCTTTGATCTTTGCAAGCTTCGGTCTTGCTTTACATTCACCATGTCGGAAAGTGAACTTGCCCCCAAGTTCGCTCCCTTCTTCTCCTTTGTGAGTGGTCCCGCGCAGAGAGTGGAATTGGTCGACTAACCATGTTGCTTATATCAGGCCGGCATTGCCGCTGCAGTGAGTCGATTACCGTATTTCTCTTTAATCAAGTACTAACAACTTCCTGAAGATGATCTTCGGGTGTACGTGGAAGCCCTCACGGGGATGGAGCTAGATGCGAGGTATCGAGACACGGACAGCTTACAATCTCACAGCAGCAGGAGCAGCTTATGGCACAGCGAAGTCAGGCATCGGTATCGCCGGTGTGGGAACCTTCCGGTCTGACCTGATCATGAAGGTAAGAAATGATGGGTACACCAAATGCACAGGTGGCTAACCAAACCGATGTCTGCAGTCCCTTATCCCCGTCGTCATGTCCGGTATTATCGCGGTCTACGGTCTCGTTATCGCAGTTCTCATTGCGCAAGCAGTTGGCCCCGACACCAACATGAGCTTGTACACGTATGTTTCGAAAGCTGGGAGCTTGGCACAGGCTGACACTGCACAGGGGATTCATGCACCTCGCTGCTGGCACGTCTGTGGGACTTACAGGTGTGGCTGCTGGTTATACAATTGGAATTGTGGGCGATGCGGTAAGGACTACCTGCAGAGCTTGTGAACGACGGAGCTCTGACAGCTATATAGGGTGTTCGAGCATACATGCAACAATCTCGGGTCTACGTGGGAATGATTCTGATTCTGATTTTCGGCGAGGTGCTTGGACTTTATGGGTAAGTGACTCTATATCGGATCAGACTGCTCCTACTAATCCTGGTCAGCTTGATTGTTGGCTTGATCCTGAACTCGAAGTCCTGAACGAACCCGTATCTACTGTTTCCTCTCACATACTGCGACTGTTTTCGAAGAGATATCTGTCGGGGAAAAACAACAGACATTCAGGAAGGAAACCGAGACAGCGAGTGTATAATAAGGCAATAAGAGATATAGATTTGAGCCTCCGATTTATCACCGTAGTTCCGTCTTGCCCCGCCCCCAAGTTCCTACGTCAGAACTTCCTCCTCCATTATCCCCCACCTCCTAAACCCCAGACTTTTTGGGGAGTCTTTCTCAATGTTCTTTTCGATAGACCCGCCTGAATAAGCTGTGTTGCCGATTGGTGGCGCGCTAACGGGCCGGATCTCATACATTTTTCCCACTCTGCTTTTGCGATGACCTTTGGCCATTCCAATGGCGACCGGTACAGTGCAACACTCGCCTGAGGCGCCAGGCACCATGCTTCCTCACAAAAGCGACTTGCACCACCGAGGAAAGCAGCTCGTCGAGGCCCTCCGCCACTCTCCACGATCCAACCCGTTCCTCATCACCGAGCGCCACGACGAAAAGCAACTATGTATCTCCTCAAGAACTCTGCGCGTGAGTGATTTCGTGCTCGTAAAGACTCTCGGTACCGGTAAGCACTCGGTCAGATACAGATTTTCTTTGCGCAGGTCCCATCTGACTGTTGATTTTTCTCTCAATGTCTAGGCACGTTTGCTCGGGTGTGGCTTACAAGGCTGAAGGACCAAAAGGACAAGAACAAAGTCTATGCGCTGAAAATTCTTCGAAAGGCCGATGGTGAGCACCACTCTATCCGAGGTTGCGTAATGTGAGAGCTAACGTGGATCGGTTGCGCCTGGATAGTGATCAAACTCAAGCAAGTGGAACATGTGCGCAATGAGCGCAAAGCCCTCGCAGCGGTTCTCGATTACCCTTTCATTACGAACTTGGTCGCATCATTCTCTGATGAGAAGAGCCTTTACATGCTGGTATGGTTGAACTTGGAGCATGACCTGGAGAATTTCCGAATGCTAACGCAGTTCAAGCTGGATTATTGCCCTGGGGGCGAGATCTTCAGCTACTTACGACGCCAACGACGCTTCAGCGAAGAGACTTCTAGATTCTACGCCGCCGAGATTACAATGACCATTGAATTCCTACACGACATACATGGCATTGCCTACCGTGACCTCAAACCGGAGAATATCTTGTTGGACGCCGATGGTCATATTAAGCTCGTTGATTTCGGGTTTGCGAAACAAGTCGACAACCGCGAGACATACACGTTATGTGGCACACCGGAATACCTAGCACCAGAGGTTATTCACAACAGTGGACATGGTCTTGCAGTGGACTGGTGGGCGTTGGGAATTCTAATCTACGAGTTCCTGATTGGCCAGCCCCCATTCTGGGACTCAAATCCTCTACGCATCTATGAGCAGATCGTCGAAGGCCGCCTACGTTTCCCAGCAAATATGCCACCCGCAGCGCAGAACATCATCACTCTGCTTTGCAAGACAAACCCGTCAGAGCGACTCGGCCACATCTCCGGCGGCTCAACCCGAGTCAAGTCCCATCCATTCTTCCAAGATGTCATCTGGGATGATCTTTTTTATCGCCGGGTAAAGGGACCTATCATTCCCCGCCTGTCTCATCCCGCCGATACCGGCAACTTTGAGGAATACCCGGATCCCCCCGACTCCAGGCACGCGAACATTTACACCGATGACCTAAAGAAGAAATATGAGGCGTTATTCAGTGATTTCTGAGCGATTCATTTCTGCCAGTATGGCCAACCACGCATTTACCAAACCTTGGAGAAGTCAAATGACGGGAGCACGGCCACATACCCCCACGGACACCACGTGAGCGACAGGCCCTCCTGAGTCTACAACCTCTCGTGGCCATCTTTGCTTTTACTTCTGCTTTCATATTGAATCCCATGACTGCCTTTGGTATGTGGCGAGTCTGGTATCGGAGGATATCACTCCAGCGCTTACCTTACGGAGTACATTTCTCCATGCCGCCCAAGCCTGTCTCACCACCGCCAACTATCATTCGGCCTTCCACACACACTCACACGACAGTCTCAGTATCTTGACCGTGCCCAGCAATCTTAGGTCCTTTCTTTCCCACTTCCCTCCCTCCTAGGATTACTCTATTCTTTCCCTACCCCAGAACTTCCTGGCTTCGATCATGAGCGCTGATTGCCTGAACTCCATACACTCCTGACTGATACCTCTTGCCCCCTCCAGCCCTGTTTTCAAACGTCGTTTCTTTTGCAGACGCTGTGCGTTCTTTTCCCCCCTTTCCCTTTTCAACTATTGGGTTTTGCTATTCATTGTACCCTGTTCAACACGCACGACATGGCTCGAAAGATTGGGTGGCGGGCTTTCTATTTTCATACAGGGGGTTTCTTTATCGTACAAATTGGTGGTTGCAATTACAGTTGGTCAATATTCTCTATTAGGATAATACCAAGTATATATTTTGGATTTTGATATTCGAGTGACATTAGACACTACTTGGACTTCCAAGATTATTTGACAAATATCAACGAAGCAGACTCGAGTTTATGGTGCGAGGAAACTACACCGGGAACAACATAACATACGCGTGGCAATCACGCTTGGATTCTGGAAATGGTCAACTTGGTATTTGTGAGAATATTGAATTGAAATCTATCAGCTAGCAGTCGGAAAACCACCCGAGAAACATATCTAGCGGGATAACTTATATGGCACGAAAGACAAAGGGGGAATCATATGTGCAGTTAGCATAAAACAGGGAACAGAACTGGTGTTTGCGCCTGGATGGAGAATTTCCCATGAGGTAGGAGCGCCGGCATGTAAATGTCGGCGATTTGGCACGTTGACGGGGACAGAGACAGTCGGGGTTCTATTGGTGGAAAAGGATATGTGGAGAGGGTGATGATGAAGGTATGAAAAGGGCAAGGGCCGTTCATATGGTTTTGGGCATGACGTATAATGTTCGAATCAGGGGATCTTGGATGCTTTTATAGAGATGGATCTGTCTTCCATGTACCTGTAACACGTAGGTTAGCAACAACACCACCAAAAACAACCTATTACCAAGCACGATAGACATACCTTCGAAGTTATGCTTCACAAAAGCCATGGCATCATCCGTATCTCCAGCACCCATCTGTCCCACACCGGGACTAAAGCTAGTGATAGGCAAGACAACCACATCACCAACCTTGCGATGAGTAGTCTGGTGACTAAAGTCCTCGTATGTGATATTCTTATCCCCAGGCTTGATGTTGAAAAAAGACGGGTTATTGAAGTACCGGAAAACAGCATCGGTCCAGGCACCAGGCCCGGTAAACTCCATAATAGTCTTATCCATATGTCCAACCTTGAGGATCCCAGCCCTCTTCATGCGCAGCGCTTGCTCAGTAATCGTTGCCACCATATCGCGAAGAATAGGATGTCCGGGCTTCGACACAATAGTCCATTGACAGAACTGAAGCCGGCGCGAATACCAGTCATGCCAGTCATCGCGATCAGGATCAGCCTCAATACCGACAATAAAGCCGATAGTCGATCGGTCGAGTTCCTCGGGAAGCCATGAATGCGCAGGTTTCAATGCCGTGGTATCGATGTCACTATAAATGCCCCCGCGCGCCAGAAGAACCAAGTAACGAAAGAAATCGGCCTTCATAACACCCAACGGCAAGGAGTCATATGCCTCGAAAACATCCGGGACAGAACCATACAGGTACTGAATGAGATGGCGCTGATTTTCGTCCGAGATAACCTCATGGGTAAACTTGGGGTGCAACTCCGTCCAGGAAGCCTCCAGACCCCGCAAGTCCTCCTCGAACCAGTACGAACTCGGGGCATATTTCCACGTCTGCCAGATATACGCAGGGAACCTCGGTTCAAGGTCATAGGGGAATTGATAACGAAGACGCTCGATCAGCGGCGCACTCGGCGATGCGCCGAGAGGCCGTTGAGCCCGACCCTGGGGCGGAAGCTTCCGCGACGGGTTTGCACGTCGATCTGCTTCTTCTTGTGATATCCCCTTCACGGGTCTGTACCCTGGCGCGCCGAGGATCTCGGGTTCTCGGAACGAGCGGAGGACGAGGAATAATGTCACCACGCCGATGAGGGTGAGGAGGGCCTTTCGCTGTGTGAACATTGCGGGCAATGGGCTCGGTGCGTTCGGATGATAATTGTCCGAGACTTGCGACGGCCGCGGAAGGGCCGGTAGCCTGTGTTTCGAGGCTTTTGGGCTTTTGGGTTTTGTGGTGCGCGCGAGCTCGGAGGATTTGAAGATTGTTGGTGCACGATTCGTTTTGGAGGGTAGGACGGTCGAGTTTTGAGGAGATTCAGGAGTCTAATTTAGGGGAATTGAGAGGGTGACATTTCGGGACTTGAGGTGCTGTTGCATGGGCCGAGTTCGTTTTGAGATGTGACCCGGATTGCTGGAGATGGGTTCGGTCCGGAGAATAGGAGGCGCGCCGAAAAATGAACCCAGAGGGTTTTTGATCAATGAGTTCACCAAAAGCACAGTAGTGAACGAGATAATCCAGTGAAATTAGGTCACGCTGACTAGCAGCGATTGACTTATGACTGGGGACTTGAGGCTTGCGTATGCCGGAAGCAGCTTGTAACCTCTTTGGGTGGAGTCGCTCACGTGGCCTGCAACGTGCAACCTACTTTAGACTAGACTATTCAGTTTGCGACCATTGCCACTTTGTTGGACAATTCCTTTCTTCCATACAAATACTATCTTAATGATTTCTTTGAGTTATACACAATCTTATACACAAGGCTGTTATCACCCCCACATCTGTTCTTTCCACTCTCCAGACTGGGTGATGATCGTCCCGGATGAATCTCATCGTTTCGAACTCGCTCTTGAGTTCATCCTAAGTTATGACTGGGCTTAGACCCAAGGCAAATATGTATAAACGTGGCTGTTGTAGAGGGCCTTGCCTAATATGCAACTGTTATCAAAAGAGCGCAATCATCGCGTAATCATCGCGCAATCAAACTGGAACAATCGCCGCCCAATAGATCGGCTTTAGCTACTAGATACTGATATTCTTCATGATTAGTCGCGGTGCAAACTACTTTTTCTTCGTTTCACGGGTATCTTATTCTGTATTTGGCTTCTTGAGAAAGAGCCGCTTGAGCAGCGCCACCTCCAGACTCGTTCTCAGACCTGAGATTATATCTACATACCCAGACATATCGATATCCTGGATTCTGATGAAACTGGATCATCAAATTGACCATACTTTCTGTTATTTTCCAACTTTAGTACGTCGAACTATAAGACAAAGCTGAAGTTAACACATACAATCTGAGGACATGTGAAATTGAATGACCACTTTCGTGGCCAGAAACGGCCATCTTTCTACTCGCAACAGGCACACACACTTAGTTTGCCAGGGGGAATCAGCTCGGTATAACTGGCTCTTAATAAAGTCATGATTTTGGTGTTTCTTGCAAAGTGATCAATTTACTACGCCCGGGTTAGGATTCCTCGCACGTACCTGATAAGAAGCCACTTTTGAGCTAGTCGGGATGTGACGTTAAAATCCAACCAGCAATTTGGAGACACCCATTCTACTCTAACTCACCGCCAAATGGCCAGCTTGTACACAGGAACAACACCAGCAGTGGTCACGAATGCCAAGGTATTCGCCCTCAGTCATATCATTTTGGCTGGATGCTGATAATGAAATCAGGGCTTACACCTTATAACCTCCTCGACTCCCAACGGAAATGAAGTCCAGATCCCTCTCGAGGAGTTGAAGGATATTTACGGACTAGAGTGAACAACTTCTTTGATAGATATCGACGCTGATAATCATGTTTTCGTCTAGCACTCTCATGGGGAAGTTGTCGTGTTGAAGGAGCTCCATTGTTGGCATTGAATTGTCACGTGTGAGATCTTTCATAACAACACGAGGGACTTCTGGAACCTGTAGATTCCTGTGTTTCTTTTTCGCCTGAGCCCTCATTGACTATTACTGACGGTGGATTGGTGGGGCCTATTTGCGTTAAGCTTAATACTAGAGAGCGAACCTTACACATAGACATGAATACACCGCTGAAGGAAGAAGGTGCAATAAACATCTGACTTACGACGATTAAGCTTGAAATTATGGTAGCTGGCAAGAGGTACTTCCACAGCCTTAGCGGCTTACCTGGGATTAACGCCAACGAGAAGAACCTTAAATACAGCCACATTAGCCGTGCATGAACATGCCCATTCTTCAAAAAGCAGCAATGGTCAGTACTTGAGCATTTGTTCCAAGTCATCTCTGCAGCTTTGTCTCGAAGCCACGATCGCAATAAATATAAAATAGTTGGCAAAGTAGGAGAACGCAGTTAGAAAATATAACGTAACACCAGATTCATAGCATACCTGCTTTACAGACACGCCGGAATCAACCCCAACCTCCGTAGATACAAATCAAAAACATAGCAAAATAGCAGGCTATGATAGACTATCAGAGCCAAGACGCGGGACCGCGCCACTCGTACGGCTTGGCGTATATCGGGGTTTCTTCAAAAAAGGACAAGTTTCTTTACTAGGGCGATTTCAAGTTACACTTTTCATGTAGGAGATCTTGGGTGGCAAGAACGGACGTCGACAGTTAGGCTGGAACTCGCGGACCCCGGTATAAAATTTCATACATCCGATCAAAGCGGCACACTTCCCGGGCGATCCATGCGCACGTGGGGGACAAAATCCCGGGATCTAAGACACGCGATTAAAGTGTCAGGCGGCTGGCTACCTTGACTTTTTTTTTTTTTCTCATTCTAGGCATCCTTGGCAAAAAGTTCCATTGCTTCAATACTTGACATTGAAGAGAATTGTGCTGCCTGAATATGCCGATAAGGTCAGCTACGCGATAATAGGGCGAATCAGCAATACTGAACCTGGGTAGAGTTGATTACCCCACACTTCTGTGAGACCTACACCGTTGAACATGGAACAAAAGCCAAGGAAGTATAAGACAGTCGTAGAGTTTACCCAGCATCCACGAAGATCTAGACGTGGCTGATACGGACAAGAAAGGCGACATTGTGGATCAACAGGAGACAAAGTCCGAGCTAACCCGAATATGGCAAGTGATAACCGAGTCGTTGACTGTCTAACAATGTTGATTGGTTGGACCTGAGCCTGTTCACACCCGCAAAAGCTTGTCATTCGGTATTTCCTTTGTTTTTTACGATAAAGAGGGGTTGTAGTCCAGTAATTTAAGGTATTATGGGAGTTGCCACTGCAATTGGGGTTAGGCTGCTTTCTGTTAGTGACAGGGTTCTGTCAGGGTCTACATCGGCTGCATCTCGGCTTATTATCCCCATGTCACCTCATTTAGGCGCTAGATTCCCCTTCCACTATAAAGAAGCCCATGGACTCGACTTTCTTTGAATTTTTACCGTCTCTTAATTTCACTATTTGCATCATCCACCCAAATCCCATTATGGAATAACATCTGCACCTACCCTTTTCGACTCAACTGCCCAGCTCACCGCCGCACAACCACAGGAGTAGGATTTGGAATCAAACTCTGTTCCATCTGCTGAAAGTATCTTTAAACGACTCTTCTTCTCCCAGGGAAACCCTCGCGATGGAGAACAAGAGCACAATCCTCCCCGTGGTGACTGAGAAGCCCCTCGCTCCATCTATCCAGTCAGTGCCAAGGAGTGAGACCTCAGGCCATACCAGCCAGCCTTCATTGGAAGCGAAGGCAGTGATCATACTCGAAAAAGAACCTAAAAAGCGTTTCTTTGCGCGACCATGGGGACCCCGTCAGAAAGTGGCCGTGGGTGCACTTGGCTTCGTGTGGATCGCCCTGATTGCTTTGACCATCGCTCTCCCGATTTACTTTACCAAAACCTTCGGCTTTGCAAAGGATACTGATGGGTACTGGCAAATCCCTCAACCAAATGAGGATTCGAGTTACCGCAGCGAGGCGAACCGGCCTGTCTTCGCTCTCATGAATTTCCCGGACCCGGGGCTCATTGAGCACAATGGGACGTGGTTTGCCTACGGAACAAACCCTAGAAAGAGGAATGCCGATACCATCCATGTGCCTGTCGCTACATCAACCAACTTTGTCAATTGGACACTCCATGAAGGTTATGATGCACTGCCCAATCTCGGTGGTTGGGAGAAGAAGGTTAACCACTGGGCTCCCGATGTGATCCAGCGTGTAAGTGTACTTGGAGTGTTTCCTGTTTTTGAAACGGATTGAGTTTCTAACATACAAAATCCAGGATGACGGCAAATTTGTGATGTACTACTCAGGAGAGGTAAAGAACTGGGGGAGCTTTCACTGCGTCGGCGTTGCAGTATCGAACGGCACAGATCCACTGGGGCCATACATCCCCGAGGACAAGCCACTGGCATGTCCCCACGACCTGGGTGGCGCGATTGACCCTTCGCCATTCAGAGACGCTGACGGCACTCTCTACGTTGTCTACAAAGGCGACGGAAACAGCATTGGCCACGGTGGAAATTGCAACAATGGAAAGAAGCCAATCGTGTCTGTACCCATCCTCCTGCAAGAGCTCAAGAGCGACGGTGTGACTACCGTTGGAAAGCCAAAGAAGATCCTCGATATCGACGATACCGACGGTCCTCTCGTTGAGGCTCCAGACCTCATGCGCACCGATAATGGTGTCTACTACCTGTTCTTCTCTTCTCACTGCTATACCTCACTGGGCTATAATGTGAAATACGCCCACTCGACTTCCATCGAGGGCCCATACAAGAGGGCTGATCGGCCTCTGCTGCAGACTGCAGACTGGGATCTCCTGGGGCCTGGTGGTGCCACTGTTTCCGCTGACGGGAAAAAGATCGTTTTCCATGCCAACTGTGGTTCCCACCGCTGTATGTACGCCGGCGCTATCGATATTAAAGCCGACAACACGGTTGTTATGTCAAGTCTCCTGGGCAGCGAGTCGTTGACCTCGACGAACTCCACAGTCAGTTCTCGGTGAGCTGAATTGGCATGATCGTGACCACCCATTTGATACACAGAAATCTCTAGAAGGCGATATGATATATCTGTTCTATGATATTTGGTGGTTTGCATTTTATCCAGCGTTTAAGCACTACGGTTTTGGCTTCGTTTGCTCTATTTTATTGGAGTCACTATTTGATACCCGGATGGTTCTTTCACCAGAATCGGCATGGGATTGGCGTTATGAGCAAGCAATTATCTAGCATTTAAAGATCTGAATCAATACTATTCTTTATATCCCTCTATCAGTACTACTGTAAACTGCCTTCGTACTTGGATATCGGAGCTCTGTATACTTCTCCGCCAATCACCGCTCGTTCAGATGACGCCACTGATCAGCGCCTGAGGCATTCACATAAGTTCTCCGGTCAATAGATGACTCCATATCTGAACAGCTCCCCTCCCCAACTCCTACTTCTTTTAATATTCAGGTCATCATGCGCTCAATTCAGGGTGCAGCTCGTGCCGCTTCGCGCACACTCCGAGCCTCACCATTGCGACAAGGCCAACCCAAGATCAATCCCGCGGGACCGCATCGGACTTTATCGGCGCAATGGACAACTGCTCGAGCATTGCACACGGTGCCATCACGAAAGGCAGCTTCCGCCTCCCCGGAGTCAGCAAGGAAGGACTCCTCTAACCCGGCTATGTCATTCCCCTGCCTCGACGCCCAAGAAGCCAGGTCCGCACAGCTCTCCGCGCGGTCGCTAGAATCCGGCCCCGAACCCTCATACACCACCGGCCAACACGAATCCTTCCACTGCGACCAACCGCTTCTCCTCGACTGGGGTGGTGTACTCCCAGAGTTTGATGTCGCATATGAAACATGGGGCCAGCTGAACAGCGACAAGAGCAATGCCATCCTCTTACACACCGGCCTGTCGGCCTCAAGCCATGCCCACAGCACGGCCTCCAACCCCAAGCCCGGCTGGTGGGAGAAGTTCATCGGCCCAGGTCTCCCCCTGGATACCGACAAGTACTTCGTAATCTGCACCAACGTCCTAGGAGGCTGCTACGGCAGCACAGGCCCGTCATCAGTCGACCCATCTGACGGAAAGCGCTACGCAACCCGCTTCCCAATCCTCACCCTGGATGACATGGTGCGCGCACAATTCCGACTCCTCGACGGCCTAGGAATCCAAAAGCTTGCCGCCTCCGTCGGCTCCAGCATGGGCGGCATGCAGAGTCTTGCAGCCGGCGTCCTCTTCCCAGAACGCGTCGGCAAGATCGTCAGCATCAGTGGCTGCGCACGCAGCCACCCATACAGCATTGCAATGCGACACACACAGCGCCAGGTCCTGATGATGGACCCGAACTGGGCGCGCGGATTCTACTACGACGCGATCCCGCCGCACTCGGGTATGAAGCTCGCGCGCGAAATCGCTACCGTCACGTACCGCAGTGGTCCAGAGTGGGAGATGCGCTTTGGTCGGCGCCGCGCTGATCCTAGTAAGCAGCCCGCGCTGTGTCCCGATTTCCTTATCGAGACCTACCTCGACCATGCCGGCGAGAAGTTTTGTCTAGAGTATGACCCCAACAGTCTGCTTTATGTTTCTAAGGCTATGGATCTGTTTGATCTGGGTCATGCACATCAGTCCGAGACTTTGCGTCGGCGCGCCGAGTCTGAGGATCGTATTGCTCACGGTGGTATCTCGCCGCGTGTCGCTGATCCTTCATGCAGTCTTACTCTCCCCGAGAAACCATATGAAGAACAGCCCAGTTCGACTTCCTCCGTGCCGCCTTTGGACAAGTCCGTCTCATCTGATCAAGCCGAAGGCCCACCGCACGATCTTGTC